GCTGTAGACACACAGTCCCACCAAATGTAGTGAAAGTGGGAGAAAGCTTACCGTACCTTCGCTACTAATTAATTATTTAAATATAACGGGTTCTTTCTTTTTCGAGTTAAATTAATGCCATGTGACCGAGGTAACTGTGAGTATTGTTTAATCAGTGACAAGAGACGTTAATTTTCCTTTGACACATCAGAATAAATGTGGTCATTTATTTAACAGAATCAAAATTTAACATCAAAACATTGTACATATGATTAGCTGATCTGGTTCTGATTAATAAAACTTGGCACGCTTTACTAATAAGACAACAAGACATTTCTGAAGGCATCTAGATTACTGGCAAAACAGAAGAGTTTAAAGGAAGGAGTTTAGAGGTTTAAAGAAGAGATGGATGAAGGGAGGTGTATGTTTGGACCAGAATTAGCACGTTTCTTTCAATCACCAGCTCAAACCTTCGGTACACTTAGCGTGTGACGACTCGTTACCTTCGCAGGAGATGAATCAACTCCGGTATCGGGTCCATTTCAACGCTACCTTCCAGCGTCTCCGGTTAGCGCGGCTGGCCATTGTCAGAAGTCGTGTTGATTTACTCTGTTCAACAAACAGGCTCAGCTCCCTTCGAAGTTGTAGGCGTTACACCCGGGTGGATTCACAGCAAGTCGCTGTGACTCCGTCAGAGATCCCACTCAGGAGTGGAAGACTCCAGAAGGCTTGAGAAGACTCCATCAAAGACTGAAGAGTCAAGAAGACTCAGAAGAACTCCAAGACTTCAGAAGAACTCAGAAGAATTTGAGAATACGGAGAAGACTCTATAGTTCCAGGAAGTGTCGACTTTTAAAAAGGTCCTCACTTCCGGTCACTTAATACTTCCTGATTGGTTGAAACAACCAACAGTGGGTGGTTCTAGTGATGTCAGAGGGTTATTAAAAGTCAACAGAGGGTTCAGGAATGTTTAGGAACGTTTAGTACAGACAGAGAAATGTTATGGCGAAGTGAGACAACGCAGATGCCAGTGTTTCTCTTTTTACCGTCTGCTAGGTTTAAAAACAATACAGCCCGTTCTAATAACTTCTTTTCTGACTGTCTCTGACTTTTGACCGACATCACTGACTTCTCATTTAGACAGAAAATCAAAATGCATAATTACTTTGTAAATAGACATTTAACTTGATTTCTAATTTAAATGAGGTTTAAAAAATCATTAACACTGTTTCACAGTTGATTTAAAATGAGTGGTTCACTTCAACATTAGAAATGATATGAACTAAACACACTTTTGATTATCAAGATATTGTAAAATAATAATGATAATATAAAAATAAGAGTGTTCTTTCAATTGATTACTTCAGGATACAATTAGACAGCCTCTGGATGAGCTAATTTGTATTTCTGGATTCAAATCAATGAAATAACAGTTCCTGTCCCATGAAGGTCTTCAGAGGCAGGTTTTGGTCGGAGGCCGAGTTCACTACACTGTTATCGCACAGCGTTTTTACAGAGATAACCGAGAACATGTCCAGAGAAGAGAGGAAAGAGAAAGGGAGAGAGGGAGTATGTCAAGTGGGTGGAAGGATGGAGATGCATTATGGCACAAAGAAAGAAAGAACAAGAGCAATCCTGTTGAATGCTCTGACAGCCTCAAACCCATCTGTCATCACATCTTATCTCCACACTGTGACACATGTCAGCTAAAAGCTATACTAGCACAGCAAACAAATCATTAAACCGTCTCAGCACCACTAAAACCTCATCAGAGCCTGCATCTGCCACACGCGGGAGTCACAACGGTTGGAATGGGGTCACAATAGGATTGTTGGCACTTTTTAAATATAATCTTTGATGATTAGAGAAGCTGCCTCAGTATGGAGGAGTTGCTGATTCACTCCATTCTCCAGCTTATTCATCACACATTTTAAAGAACGCATCATGAGCTCTTACTACGACCGGCATCCATTCAAGTCTTTGCAAAGTTCCTAACCGGCCGCAGCCATTGAGTCCTCTGTTAGTGCTTCATGCCCAGCCGTTTTCAAACATGGGAACTGATGCTTTAATTCAATTCGCTGCACTCAGAGAGTAAATGTGCTTCACGGCTCTTTGTGCAGCTCAGCATATTCACTGCCCCCCTGGCTCCGGCTGTGTGTTTCTGCCAACGGAGGGTCAGTGCAGAGAGGTGCAGTGAGTCAGAAAGGCCCAGGACATGAACTGCATGTATGTTAGAGAACGAGCAGAACATGAGAGGATCAGAGGAGCAGCAACGTGAAGTCGCCCCCAGGTCGGTTCCTCTGCAAACCAAGACTCATGTTGGTTGGATAGAAATTCTGTAAAGGAGATCGGTTAAACGTCCTTCTCCCTGCCCAAGGGATCCAGTCGCCATGAAACAATTTCAGAATATGATACAATGCTGCGTTGAAAGGCTTGTCAACGTGACTCAACCTTGTGGGACACACACACTCACACCCACACTACAACTCATGAGACACATCTTGTCTTCTTCCTGCTTTCGGCTCACACCCACCAGTTTGTTCCCTGATGGAAGGGACGTGGAAGATGTGTGTGCGGAGGGAGGGGGGCATAGACCATTTAGCTGAAAAACTTCACAGAGGGTCTCTGTGGGTGGTGAACAATGCAGAACACTTGTCACCTCCCAACAAAATGTTAGATCTGTGAAAAGGAACGCTCCTCCTGTCTGTCAGATGTTCTCTGTGTTACGATCTGAGCCCCTTTCCCGTTCGAGCTGCTCGTTTGCTGCGCCCCACTCGTTAAAATATCTACACTTTGACTGTGAAGGTGAAAGAAGAGGAGAGATTTTCAGCCGCTGTAATTGACAGGTTGCAGTGTTGACCCTGGAGGTTTTTTATCAGGAAAGCATCACAGCGTCTTGAACAAGGCTGCAGAGGGAGTCAAACATGCCCTGCAAGTCAACACGTGTTTTTCTTTATTTTATTTTATTTCCAAGGACCAGACAATTTGAACAAGGATGCACCGTGGCACTTATAGAGCCCACCACCGAAAAGAGCTTAGAAAACATTCAAATGAATATAATTCAGTGAATTTTCAGATATTGTGCATAAAATTTGTTGTGGTTGTAGCTGAGTGTCATTCACAAGACACACTCTGAGTGTGACGCTTTGCAACATCACATGAGATCGTGTGTTACATTTTCAAGCTTTGACTAAAACAATAAAAACTGTCATTTCTCCTCACCCTAAAACTTTTGCATTAAAGCTGTCGGGCGATAAGTATTACTTCAAGGAATGCATATCTCTATAAAGATATAAAGAGGAATTAAGTTCACATTTTGCATGTCAGCGTTAGTCTTATTCATACCTTGATTTTATTATGAGATCACCTGATGTTTAAAAAGTTCTGTAAATAATGAGGAAAAATCCACTCTAAAGGAGGTTTGAATAAAAAACATGTCTGAGTCTGGGTTTCACAAATTAGGCGGGCTTCTTCCCAAGTTACAAGCTTTTAAAATTCCTCAACATTCCCTCTTTGTGCTTCCACAGTGGAGGAACGGCAACACAAAGGCAGGATTTGGGATTTATCAACTAAGTCAAGCTGGCGAAACCTCATACGACACTTTGAAAGGATTTTGTCGCACAGAATAGTAGTTCTGTATTTACATTGACAGAGATCAAGTGCAGCGAGGAAGAAGAGTTACAGCATCTGAGAAAAGAGGAACATGAAGGAATAAAAACAACCTCCGTTTTCCACTAAATCTCCTGTTTTTACTGAGGAAAAACACTAATCTAAATGTCTTTCCACCACAACTCTTCAGTTGTCTCCTCGACTAATAAGGTGCAGCAGATGACCTGTGACCATGAAATAAAGGCCAGACTGGTCTATTTCTGAAGAGTTAAACAGATTCAGTGGCACCTCAGCAGGTGCAGAAGTATTCAGTTCGTTTGGTACATGGTTTAATGGCTCGACGTCTGCTGAGGACACCTAACTGATTCAGATGTTTCATTCTCTCATGCGGGAGCTGAGAGAGTTTAGAGTCAAGTTGGAGAAACTGCATTTTCTACAAAAATGTAGATTGAATGTTGGAAGTGCAGAAAGGACCCCCGTGACTTGAAAAGGAAGAAGCAGGTAAAAGATAATGGATGGATGGATGCGTTGATGAAGCTAAAAGGAGAAAACACTAGCTAAATGCTAAAAGAAGCTAAAGCTGGTTAAAAATTTTACGTAGCAGAGTAGTAGATGAAAGCTAAAGACTAAGAAGACAAATTGAGCACGTTGAAGCAGATTTCAAAGAGAACAGGAGGAGATTTTAATGCACTTCTATGGGGATTCTAAATAAAATGTTGCAAAGTTATGAAGAGCTGGCAGAAAAATTCCAGACAGTAAGAAACAAAAGCTTGCACACTAGTTATCTCATCTTGATAGTTAACGTGCCCTTAAATTCAAAATGTGTGAGCAAAATCTGAGAACGCTGCTGACCAGATGTGTCTGTTTAAACAGCTGGAATGACTGAAAACAGGCCACTAATGGGGACATTTGTGGGAAAACCTGAGGAGTTCGACAGTTTAGATGTGTTGCTGTCACACTCAGACTTTCTGATGCAGATGAAAGAGCTTTGTTTACACCGAGCGCATACCCACATTTCAGAATTGCATCTGGAAAAGGTAAACTCTTTCAGCCTCCGTTTTGTTTGATTTCGACTATTTTCCAGATGTATAAAAGTTACTAAACCCAAACGTGGCAGCGCTCCTCTCCTGAATGAGCTGAGCCTTTTGACAAACGAGTGATTAAACAGCACAGAGTCTGCAGGAGCAATAATTGCAGCGGACTGCAAGCAAATAAATGTGCGAGTGCTGAACCAACTTTCACACAAAAGCTCCACAGCTTTAAGTCAGTCGCCATGGCAACAAAGACATCTGATAGTGAAAGAAGAAGAAATAAAACTGTTGTGTTGTCTTGAAGTGAGATGCAGAATCCCAAGCCTGGTGTTTGTGCAGCTAAACTTGTCTGATGTGTTTGCTCACAGTTCGACACCTTACCTGACTGGCGCTGGCGGGAAAAGAGGAGATTGGCGGGACGTCCAAAACCTTCAGCTCGTACATGTTCCCGTTCAGGATGACGGCGGGTCTGTGCACGTATCTGCTCCGGGTCGGCGTGTACGCCTCGGAGAAGTCGTTATAGATGAACTGGCGGATGATAGAAGTTTTGCCCACCCCGGGAGCACCGATCACCGCGATACTCAGCGTCTCCACCATCATCCCTGGAGCGCGGCTTCAGCACCATGGACAGCGACGGCCGCGGAGGCAGATGTCACACACACGCGGGCGCGCGCGCACACACACACCAAGGGAGAGGGCTGCTGCTGCTCCGGAATTCAACCCCGTAGCCTCGATGTGTTTTACACGTTTCACCCAAAAATAAAAACAATAAAATGAAAAGGAAACTTTTCTCTCGCGGGTGAATTCGCCGCAGACTGTCACAAATCCAGCTCCACCATCTTTACCATCGTCATCACCGTCATCCGCCGAATGAAGGGAAACTCTTGTGGTTTTTTTAGAGGGGCTCCCCCAGCCCAGAGCTCTTCCCCCAGGCAGGAAGCGTTAAAGTCCGCCTCCTCCCGGACACAATCCTCCTCCAGGTGTCTTCGTGCAGGAGCTCCTCTGCGCCTCCTCTCACTCGTTCCCGGCGATGCGCCACCGACCGCCGCGCTCCTCCATCATCACCATCAGAAAAGGAGGGGGAGGAAGGCGCACAGCGGCGGGGCGCGTAAATAAAGCTTCCCCACGTGCTTTGAAATGGCTTGTGGGGGTGAATAAAATTACCTCCCAGTGTTGTCGCTACCAGCTGCACAAAGATGACCAGCGGCGAGATTCAGGAGAGAACGCGCGAGCACGGAGGCGACCGAGGCGCGTTTGCTGTGAAGGCATCTGGAGTCTGATGAGGAGCTGTGTGTGCTGCTGGAGAGGCAGGAGCCCTGCACCCCCTCCTCCCCCCCATCTCCATCATCCCCATTATCCCCTGCACTGCTCATCCAATAGGATCATGTCGTGCGCAAAGCGCGTGAAAGCTTGGAGCTCCCATACGCAGGAAAATTAATGGCAAAGAGGCAGGAGCCACACACTGTATATCATGACATGGTGCGTGTGTGTGTGGGCACGCATGACTGGACAGACATCTCCTGACTTAATAGCTCGTCACCAGGGTCTCTGCAGAGCAAGGTCCACGTGTGCCATCACTCCACTGGGTGACACAATGGACAGGTGTGAGGGGAACAAAGGAACAGCTCACACACGTCCTTCAGAATAACTGAAGATCTTCTAACACCAGGAGAATGATCAACTGTCCAGCAAAGCAGATGTTTTTGACCACATGAGCCACTAGATCTCATCTCATTTGATCTTGTTTTTCATGACTTAAGGCCTCAGTGATCTAAGATCATGCAGCTTGTGACAGGATTGCTGGGAGCAGCTAAAGAAGCCGACACTGAGCTGAAATGTTTCAGTAGCCAAATCAATAATGTGCACAGTTGACGTTTTGTTCCACAGTAGTTGAAAGGTTGCTGAAGTTTGATGGCGAAGCTGAAATTGAACCAAAAGTAAAAAGTAGCAAAATGTCAAAGTAGCAGAAGCCTAGCTAAAGGCTAAAAGTAGCAAATTGAGTGCTAAAAGCTAAGAATTTGGCTAGCTACACATCAGTTTTCAGCTCAGTATCTTGTTGCCTCCGTCAACTTTAATGTGGCCCAAACCGCATGCACCCCCACAACTTTTATATCAAAACAAACATCTCAGTGCCAGGATGTGAGCTACGAATATAACTCAGTCAAATCAAATTATAAATTTTAAATGGCCGCAATGTTGTCCTGGTCAAAGTTTCCCCAATAATTTTTCTAGCATGTATTTTTGTGTTTGCTGAGGTGGCTGTGGCAGCCATCGTGCTTCAGTTTGTCCAGTGACTGGACATTTTGCTAACAGGCCTTTTGTTCTGTTGTTTTCTATTTCCGAGTGTTTCTTCTATAGAACATCTTTCATGTCAGGTTCCTGATCCCACTCGTCACCAGTGTCATGAAACAAGATCTGATGAAACCTTAAGAATAATGTTGAGCAGGTTGATTCGTCAGCAAGGCCTTAATGTTTTTAACATAAGAGATGTGAGGAACGTTCCACACTTCTGTACGACAGAAACAATGCTGCGTTTGTGAGGAGGCCAACAGGTGTGGTTCTCATTGGGAAAAAGTCCCATTAGAGACAGAATGTTTATGTACCAGTATGTGTGTGTGTGTGTGTGTGTGTGTGTGTGTGTGTGTGTGTGTGTGTCATTTTTACACACCTGTCTCACACAGTCATTGGTTCATTTTGAGCAAGAACAGGGGGATGTAACAACGTTGAACAAAACATCTCAAATATACTTTTTTATCGGTTTCAACAACCTGCGTTATCAAATTTGTGAAATTCCATCTAAATCAGATTAATGGAAATACTGGTTTCTGGAGAGAACATTTATAAAACAGTCAAATGTGACCAGAATAGGGTTAAAGATTTATGCATTTTAAATAATAGATTATGGATAATTACAAACAATCAGGTAACCGTTGGATAATTAAACCAAAGTTGATTTGGGACTTTAGTAGTGTAGTTAAATGTTGGTCTTTCTAATTAAAACAACAAACCTCAAATATTTAATATGTAAGAAATGTGGATGTCAAATGCACCAGCCCATTAGAAACCTGCACTTTTGAGTGTTTACAAATATTAATTTATTCCAGCAAAATGGATTTTTATTATTTTACACTGATCATCACATTTTATAAAAGCTGTCTGAGAAATACCTCAGGTCAAATAATAAATAAAAAGGTCATGGGGCATGATAACAAATCTAAAATAGTTTTTGTCCATAAACAATTTTGTGCAAATGAGCCCACATAATGAACCTGATATTCATCTGATCAACGTCGGGATAAATTTATCCCGAAGAGTATTTTCTTGAATCAAACTGTTATGTAGTTTTCCCCATTAAAGACAGTGAGGTGGCAACCCCTGTAAAGGTGCCTTTATCACGAGGATCAATAATATTCTAGATATCATTTACAGAACCTGATCCGACACTTGTCACAGGTTTGGAGTTTTGACATTTTCAGGTCAGCACTGCTCGACTGCTGAACAAAACGACACTTCTCTTTCACGACCGGAGAAGAAAAGTGTTTGTGTTCCACATTAGCTCAACCAGCGGAAGACCTGGTTACGCTTTTAAAGGCACTTTGAGCTTAAATATAATAAAACAAAACCTCATCCGGAGCTTCAGTGCCACCGTTCTGTTGGGAAGGCATGAGGAGCACTCTGCTTTTGTTTGCATATAAAACTTTAAACATCACGTCTGAAACACTGGCTGGCAACCAGAGAAGGTCACCACTGATTGTAAAGTGTGGTGAGAACACACGGAGTCACGGGATCTATAAAGATCTGAAGCAAATAAAACTGAGCTAATGTTTTACGTCCTCTCAGACAAATCAACAGAAGAAGAAAAAACTGTGGATTCATCAAGACTTTTATTAATTCTTCTCAAATGTTGTACGCACAACAAACAAAGCTAAGTAAATCAAAAACATCTGATTAAACACCTGATTAATTAATACAGCATTTAATCTGAATCAGCCGTCGCCACACACTCAGAAGAGTTCGATCAAGGTGCACTTATCCATGACAGCTGAGGGAAACGGCTGGATCACACGTTCTCACCCTGCTTCAGGTAACACCACCTACATTTAGGGGTTTATTTTATCCCTCCTCGAGAATGTAACAAATCATATGACTATGTCACTCGGGCCTTCATCTCCAGTGGCCGTGGAACATGGAGACACACAAAGAGCAAAGTGGCAAAGAGCCCAAGAGGCTGCTGCTGACGCACGGAGAAGCGGCGAAGAAGAGGAAACTAAACGTCCGCACACCCCGAGGCTCTCTCCCAGTTTGCCACATGTACACTTACACACAAATTAAACCATGGAATGACAAAGCAAAAGAGCAGTCAGCAACTTCTTGCTGCTAGTCCATAAAATAGTAAGGTACACTGATGTAAAAATGTAAAGAAACAGTTTCCACGCACACAAACATTCTGCTCTCAGATTCAAATCTGCTGTTCCACACAAACAAAACTTAAAAAATGACAAGAAACAATAGCGTAGTTTAAGGTGTTCGTGTCTCATGTTGGGCTCCTGCAGCCGACAGCTACCCGGCACAGGCAGCCTCTTTCTACTGCACCTCAACCGAAATTACCCACAAATAAATATGCTGAAAGTGACGATTCACCTGCTGATTGCAGATGCTAAAAATAGACTTAAATCTACCCAGAAGGGGCTAGAAAATTATTAGCCTCATGGAGGGACAGAAATCTGGCAGCCGTCTGTCCCTGAATGAAAAAGGGTCATTACGTGATTTTTTATTTTTTTTAATTTGGTGGGGGTGTTCAAGCTGCTCTGATATTTTATTTTAGCTTGAGATGATGGAACTCAAGGATGTAGGGAGGATAAACAAAGAGGAGACAGAGCCCAAAGAGTGAACCCAGAAGATTTTAGTCTTAGGGGACGTAACGGTGATATTTAAAAGGGTTACAACGGACCATTAAATATTTTAATGAAAGGGCATGACAGAGACCGCAGTCAGACACTGCAGGAAGGCGTTCCTGCGCTGCGTGAGCCTCTTACACGGTTGTGGGTCAGGCGAGAGAGAGAGCAGCAGAAGATGATGATGCTGGGAGCTCTGAGGTGCAGCGGCTGGATGGACGCTCGAGCGTCCGTTCAGTTCTTCAGCACGGCCTCGTAGCTCTGGAACACACACTGGGAAACCTCCGGAGCTCTGCATTTCAAAGAGACCTGACGGAGACGGAAACATTGAAGATTTAACTCATGACTCTCGTCTGTTCAAAGGCAGCATTTCAGACAACCTAAATAAAAAGCTTTTTTTTTCATCTTAATTCATTTTTCCTGTCTTAAAAGCAAACATAAAAGGCACAAGTTTGTAAAAAGGTAAAGAACTTCCTCCAATTTGTCTTACAAAGGAACTTCCAACAAGAGCACTGGTAATAACTTCGTGAGCTTAGAGTGCAATAAATATTCATTAATAACTTCATCGTTCGTTTAAACACCACAAGTTCATTGTTTTACACACGAGGGGAAAGAAAAGCTTTGTATTAAAACCTCCTTAATTCAGTCTTATCAAGCTCTGGCAGACCTTCCGACAGAAACATAGATACATAAGCCCGCTGGAAGAAATAAGAGGAAGCTGCCCGCTCTTTGATGTTGGTCTCAGCTGGGAGAAGGTTTTGGATTTAATGGAGCCCTGCAAAGTGAGATTTTTTTTCTTCTTCTCAGTCACACTGCAGATATTGGTTTCTCACATCCCAGAAGCACACTGTTTACAGAAAACACCAGGCAGCTGCAGCTCACATTCTATTAGGATGTTGCAGACATCACTTTATAGCAAAAAAAGACAACAAGAGGAAACTTAAGGAGCAAAAGAATCATCTGTAATTAAATTCTGTTGAATGAAACCCAGCTGTGCTCTCCCTTGTGAGAACCAGGAACCGTAATGACCAGTATGTTTCAGTGGGGGGGACAACAACCTGCTTTTCTCCCAGCCTGACAGCGAAACACGTTCAGCTGCACCCGCAGATCATCACAGTGTTTTAACCACAGACACTGCTGTGAATTACATTTGTTACATAAACATGGAGATGTAAAATATGTGTGTGGGGAGGGGGAGGTGTCATGGTGTGGGGTTTACAGTTAATACAAGCAAGTCAAAAAACGAAAAGTGACCTAATCTCAGCGCAGCTCCTTCAGGTGAAGTGGAGCCGTTTAAAATGTGTGGTTTTTTTTAAGCCTCTTTACTTCCTTCTGCCATTTATGAACAGGCAGGGCCTCCTTTTCCTTACATTATATGTGCTGCTGTGCTGACAGGATTTTTTTCTTTGTATAATATTCAGTAATCCTCCATCATCCTAATTACAAGGCGGTGTGCTCAGTCATTTTGTTTTAAGCTCCAAAATGTCTGTTTGTTCCTGTAACAGCGACACTAATGCACCTCAATGTTTGCTCCATTATCTTAATTACAGTGATCAGTTATTCACCTGTATGTTAATGATGTGATGGTGTGATGGTTACCATAGAGTTGTTAAATAAAGCGATTGTACCACACAGCTCGGTGCTGGTACACAGAACTCTTTACTGATGCACGCTGCTGCTGCTGGCAGCTTTTAGACAACTGTGCTCTCATCAGCAGCAGAAGCTAACGAGCAGAAACAGCAACTGAAAGAATCCAGTAACGACAGCTTTAAGCTGAACTCTGCTTTTTGCTAATATCACATCCGAGTACACAAGCAAAGACTGAAGCAAGAAGAGAGAAGTTTGTGTTTAATATTAATGAGTTCTTCCAAATTGGTCTGAACATTTTCAGAAAATAAAGGCCATGTATCAAAGAGCTTTTATAATGTTCACCATGCTTTGTTACTAAATTTACAACATGGTTTGGTTTCCTTTGTTTTCTTTGCAACAAACAGAAGAGACAAAAATAGCGCTTCAGTCTTTGTAAAAACTGTAAATATTTAAATCAAGATGACTGCAGCATTGTGATAAGTCAAACCAAAGACTACAAGTAAATGTGCTTTGATAAAGTGATGCTGTATTTGAACTGTTAAACCATGAACAGAAGCTGAGAGTTGTCAGAGAACATGTTAGATACACAGGTGTTTGATGCACAGAAGCATTTTCTAGAAATAAACGCAAATCCTCCTCTTCCCAAAATTGCTACATTAACATGGTGAAGGAGTCTGAGTACCTCCGTTATCCTAGGGACTATATTGTCAGGGTCACCAGTCCCTGGTAGGTCTCCAAAGGTAAACTGCCCTCAGGAGAGGGCTCGCACCAAGAGCAAGTAAGCAGCTGAGGTCTCGTGTATAAAAGAGCACGCAGCTTTCATACAGAATGTTGGCATAGTGGCAAAATTTAAAAACTGTGTGTGCACCGAAATATTCAGATTTATCGAACCATGCACATGCATGTTTCTGAGCTCCATTCCTTCATACATCCAGACTAATGTGCAACTGAGCACACATGAGACACCTCCCCTGACACACCTCCATTTACATATGCAAATAGATGCAGATATGGTCTGCACGTGGGAGTCTCCTCTTCGCACAATCTAAAATGATGTCTATATGCAAGAAAATTATGAATTTAATAGAAAGTTTATCAGAGACCCTCCTAAATGAGTAGTGGGATGTAAAAATGTGTTTGTCACGCATGCACAAAGAGGTGGGAGTCTGTGTGTAGCTGCATAATACATAATTACACAGAGGCACTCAGGAGCTTGGTATAAAACTTAGAGGCTTATTTATTACATAGCAGATGTCAAAAAACAAGTCACTACACAACATCTGAGGATTTCAGTCACAATGTAGGGGAATTTGAAATACAGTATGTGGGCATCATATGGATGAGATCATCTCACACAGCTGGCATGATGCGGCTCAGAGACTGAAATATCCAACTGGTATTTGGTTGGAGTGATCCCCCAAAACACTGCCTCCAAGTCTTCTACTGGTGATGTTCTCCAGTGGCACCACAGTTGCCATTGTTCCACAATTATGCATAATTTTATGCAGCTACTGATGGATGTATACGTTAGTGTCTACACCGTGTCGACCTGTGGAATCATCACACAAGTGTTTTTAATATGCTGATCCAACCGCGTTCTTCTCAGTGAAAAAGGAAGTGCCCCTTATGCAATTTTTTCATGACCTTGTAGCTGCTAGGATGACAATCAGCTCCTCCACAGTCCGAGGCCATGGTTCTCATGAGGAAATGGACACCTCGTGATCAAGAACGAGTTGAATTGAATAGTGAAGCATTACAACAGTACTAATGCTAGGTTTGAGGTGCTACAATCTCCTACTTGTAGGCAGGGTGCTCAGTTCTGTAGACAGGGCGGGGCACCCTCCTTGGATAATTGTAGTGGAAACACTGGGTTGCTTCGATTGGTCATGGTGAAGAAAGAGCCAAGTTGAAAGGCAAAGCTCTCGATTTACTGGTCTGTCTGTGTTCCAACCTTTACCAATGGTCATGAGGTATGGAGCTAGACTAAAGGAGCAGTATCTCACATCCAAGTGGCTGAAATGAGCTTCCTTCATAGGGTGGTCAGCTCAGCTTTACAGATAGGGTGAGGAGATTTGCCATTCAAGTGGAGCATATACAGGAGTCTCTTTTCCTTAACTTTGAAGGAGTCGGGTGAGGAAGTTCAGGCATCTGATTAGGATGTCTCCTGGAAACTTCCCTTTGGAGGTTTTCTGGGCATTTCCCACTGGGAAGAGACACCAGAGTAGATCCAAAACTCACTGAAGGGATTATATACCCTGTCTGGCCTGGGAATGTAATGTAATGCCCTGGGAATCCCCAGGAGGAGCTGGAAAGTATTGCTGAGGAGAGGGATGACTGGATTTCTTCTCTGGACCTCTTGCCTCCACAATCCAATCACAGATAAGTAGCAGAATGTAGATGGATAAATGCAAATCCTTGAGAACAAACAATTCTTTAAATGACAACAAAAAACTTTTTGTTACTACTTTTAATAATTTTGAAAATGTAACAAGCAGTTAAATTTTTTAAACTAATGTTCACCAAGACTTACCAGTAGGAAGACATGAAAAACATTTGAGTGGTGGATTAATGTTTTGTCTTCAAAAATTTCCAGGTAATTGTAAATAGTGTGGATGAATAGCACATATGTTTTGAGTGGAAAGGAGCTTTGTGGTGTCCATTTCTGAGTTTATTGAAAATAGTTCGAACCAACTCAAGAGGTGGGTTGAAGATAAAATTTAAAAAAAACAAAACGGTATTACTGGTGACATTGTTGCCATGGGGACAAGAGATGGCAGATGAAAACACCCCAGCTTTATATCAAAAAGATGAGCAGCAACCAAATGCTCTACTAAATACAGTTTACACAAGCTTGGACATGAATAAAAAATAAACCCGCCAATACAATACATTTTTATGTAACAGCAAGACATTAAAAGACAAGATGAGATCAATGTGACAAAGTAACAAGAGGAGGACTGCAGTGAAAAAGCTGGCAGTGACATTTCTTAGCCTGAGCTGCGACTTTACACTTTTGGTTTGCTCTCATCACCTTCAGAGAGATGTTTTTATCTGGAGCAGAACGCTGTTTTCAGCCAAAAGAAGGTGTGAATGTGTGAAAAGATAGGAATGTTAGAAAAATCACTCGGATGCATGTTGTGCAATATCATCTGAAAATGTCTCTTTTTGAAATATAAATAAAAACATTGTTATGCCTGTTAAGGGATAAAAAAAAGAAATCTTTGTTTTAATTTTAATTTTCCTAAGTAGTTTTGTTTCCAAGGTATGCTTCATTTGGAGAGCCCACTCAAAGCCAACTTAAACTAAGTGCTGAATGACTCGTCTGAGATTTGCTAGCTAAAATAATCAAAAGTAGCTTAAAAAAACTAGCAAAATAGCCAAAACAAAAGCTAAAGGGTAAAATGATCAAAACAGAAGCTAAATCTAGTAAAACTGTTGCAAAAAAATTAAAGGCAGCAAAACTGTATCTAATAGCTAAAATTAGCCAAACAAATAGCTAACATCAAACACTGGAACAATAGTAGCTAAAACTAGCAAAACAGTAGTTAACCTAAAACAGTTGCTAAAGTTAAATGTGGCAAAGCTATGACTAAAAGCAAAAATTAGCAGATCATAGCTAATGGCTAAAACTTCTAAATCCCTTTTCCATTGTTAGTGGACTGCAAAGTCAACCAAAAACAGTGTGGAGTGTGGAACAGGAACACAGAAATAATACCTCAAGTAGTGAGGCATCATGGGAAAGTTGAAGTCAATCAAGTTCTGAGATATTCGGAAAAATAGGCCAAGTTCCATTCATGCCTTAAAACTGCATAGGAGCACAGCAGCAGAAATAAAACACGACCCGCGAGTATTTTCTCTCAAGAAAATGAAGAATAACCCATTTAGTGCCTTGTTTTTATCAAGTGACATGAAACCCAGTGAAAACGCAGCGGCAGCGCTTTACTTCTTCAGGTCTAAAAATAGAAGTCGACAAAAGGCTTCGGCAGCTTGACTTTAATGTTCTGTGCCAAGAGATCACGAGGAGCGAGCAGCAGGCAGCAGCTCAGAGGAACAAACACCGGAGTACAACGGTGCAGCAAAGTAAACCTGAACGTCTACCCATCTATACACCATTCAATTTGTGATCTATCTGAAAAACCTACGTGAACACTTCTGCCACATTGAGGAACAATTTGGATCAAACGACATAAAGACGGCTGGAGAACATAATGAAGAAAGAGAAACAAAAACAGCCTCCTGACTCATTTAAGTTGGGCACAATTGGCTGCACAGGGAAATCAAAATATGAAAAATGGAAATGTCTTCCAGCTCAACAAAGAATCCTCCATCACTCAAGACACTCACTACACAAGTCATATTTCTCTCCCATCAGGTTAGGCAAGGCGATGATAAACTGAGGCATGTGTGAACCAGGTGAAAATATCTGAGGATTTTAATGAACGCACTTTGGGGGACTGAAAAATTGACTGGGCATGACAGGAGTAAACAAAAAGATAGTTGATGGCACCTTATAAATAAAACATGATCTGAAAGCAGACGGAGAAATGAGCAGGGAGGAGAGTCACACCAAGGTCGCTACTGGAGATGACTTGAGCTGAATCTCTACTTCAGAATCAATCCATCACTGATGTGCTGCGTGCTGCTAATGCAGAGACGTGCAACAATGAACAGAGCAGTACACACAATGCAAGCTCCAGACTCCAATCACTACACAAAAAGCCTCCACCCTTGTCCTGCAAGTTCACTGCCAGTGACTGCACATCAAGGTTCAACCCAGCTGCTTGTTCAATCAGATACACGTCAGTTGACTTGACCCGTGATGTGCAGTGAGCACAGAACATGTTCGCTGAATCAGACTGACTGCATCCAGTAAGCAGAACTAAAACTGATGTGTGAGGCACCCACAACACCAGTGACAACTTCTCTCACACCATTTATAACTCACACCTTTAAAAGTTGAATTTCCCTGAGCTTCTTCTGATGGATATTAGCTGCTGACTTAAAATTGTGAGAAAATAGGCAACTTTTCAACTTTATTGGGGTGGGGGGGCAGAAATATCAAAGATTATAACAATTGTCACCAGTACAAAAAATAAAGTTTTAAAGGATGTAACCATATTTTACTATGTACATAATTTTCTAGATGGTAGCAAAACTTATCTGAAAGCAGTTTTTAGAAATCTCAGCAGTCATTTGTGTGTGCTTCTTTTTAAATCATTGCTTCCTTGTTAGTTTTACTATATATATATTTTTTTATGTTTTTGGCTTTTGTATTCAGTTTTAGAAGTTAAGTTTTCTTTAAAAGCCAAACCAGGGACAAAATCAGTCTTTGACTAAAAGTCCTTCATACAGAGCAAGGTTTGTAAATATGGGAATATGGTATTAAATATGTTACATTATTTTACATACGTTTTAACATCAATTTCTAAACTCATAAATAGGTCATTACTAGTACAAGTACATCAATGATTAGACTTTAAACAGTTGAACACTTACAGTGTAGTTTGGGTTTCCTGCCTGAAGCCTGAGCTCTGCCAGCATCCAGATGCCATTGGTGAGTTTCATGGACTGATACAGCATGTCCTGCCCATCCACTGTGCGTTTGGCTATGGTGAAGATGTTGCTTCCTTGAAGTTTGTTGGAGGCTGCATCTGTACACAGAACATACCCCAACCTTTACACAACATAATTACATTCCCCGTTTAAACTGACAGCTTAGTTTTATTTTATTTATTTAGCATAAAGTCTCTGACTTGATTCCTGTCATGCTCCATGTCTGTCAGCAGAAACAATCATTAAATGCACCAGGCCATGAAGAATTCATTTTCTCTTCATCTTTTCCTAGAATTTTCACTCCAGGCTGATATAGTCACTAATTCAAAATTAACTTCTCTCCTAAGTCTCGGTCTTGCTGTTGTAACCCAATAAGACGTAAAATTTTTCTTTGTTCATATTGAAGAAATTCAATCTGCAGGGGTAACTCTCCATTAAGCTGTCTTTAGGATTTTTTTTCCAGCTCAGCTGCTCTCACACTTGTGTGAAACTAAAATTATGACACATTAATAGGGAATGCAGCTGATGAGCTCTCAAACACAATTTGCTTCACTGGTGGGGATTAGACTTGAGATCAACATGGCTCTGTCTGCCCGTTTCCATATGAAAACATGCTGCACATTGATGTGTTTTTCAGCTAATGCATTCGGCTCTCTGATCATTCTCCTTACCTGAGCTGAGATGGCAGTCTTTGATCTGAAACTGGGACTCGTTGTCATTAGGAATGTCTTTCCATGTGGCAAGAAAAACTTGCCGTTCTGTTGAAAAGAAGAACACATCCTAAAATCTACTGCTCAGTAACACAATTTGTGTTGTGATTATGATCAAAGTTGTGAAAAAAAAAAGTCCAAGCAGTGAGGGTTGGCTCCACTGTAGACACAAGGTGCCATGGTGTGGTTCTAGTTCTCAAGCATTAGCTCGCAGCCGCTGGCAGCAGTCCTACTGCTAGGCCCATAAGAAGTCTCCACAGGGAGAAACACTGAAACACTTTCATCAAACAAATCAGACAGCAGCACAAAAACAAAAGATAAAAAGGCTCAAAGTGGTGCTGCAATACAAGCTGCTCTGCCATGGGATATGACTGAGTTCTGCAGCAGGTAGACAATCACAGCCACGTACGTCACATGCTCAGAAACTGACACACGTGCATCAATCTTTCAGTGGGGGCTCATTATTCTGTCGCTGATGTCAGTGGAGCTTCGAGGCTTTGGAATGAAGCGATTTAGCAAAGAGCCACTCACCCATCTTCCCATCCTCTACAAACAGCATGCTGATGGGGTACTGGCAGCTGAAGTAAAACACATCAATGTTGTTCTTAACAGCCACCTGCGGGAGAGATTAAATTCAAGTGGAGGGTGAGAGGAAAAACAACAGCAGGAAGAAAAAATAAGTCATCTACTAATTATTCAAACATCCTTCACAAAATATTCAGACTATCTTGGAATCTTGCTACTTGTCTTATTTTAAAGACACCAAAAAATGTTTTAAATGGCCAACAACATGGAAATTTGACAATAAAATGGAAATAGAAATGTAGAGCAAATAAATCTGAAATCATGCCTGACATTTAGATTCAACTCAAATAAGTTCATTTAGATTAGATTTCAACTCGTCAATTAACAGCACATCATTACCACCTGGCAGCTTTTCAATCAACTGATTTAACCACATAATGCTGATTCAAATACAATATTTGAGCGCTTTATTACTGACCACAACACAGTGTTGGATTTACAACTTGAGATAGACAGAACTTTAAAAAAAAGAAAGGCTGATTGTGTTAAAAGCACTTTGCTTTAAAACAGCTAAAAAGTAAAGCTGGTCTGAACAACATATATTTTATACTTTAGTCAGGATTGAACAGTGCAGAATTATTGTTTTTTCTTGGATCATAAAAAAGGTATCATTACTATATTGTAAATACAGTGCAGTGGGATTTTTGTTCTCCATTTGCAAAAATTTCAATTTCTCTTCCTCTGAAACAAAACTAATAATAATAATAATGATAATAATACATTTAAATTAACAACACTGTAATCTGCTGTTTGTGAGCTGACTTTTGCCCTGTCCGACAGAGCTCAGGGCACTACTGAAACTACTGAACCAGCTGCCCCTCATGCTAATCTAAAAACATGGGTAAAGCTTACGATAGTTTTATTTTGAAAAAAAAAATAAAAAAAAGCTGTAGGTTGATTTCTTCACAAAAAGCTCTGATAAGTAAATTAAATCCAACCGAGACCTATCAGAATGTTGCTTCGGTGGAAGAAATCGACTTGGGGATTTCTGACCTTTTTGTAAGGAGTTTGCAGTCGATTCTACATATTAGCTTCAAACAGACTGCTAAGAAAGAAACAGCACTGAATTAATGCTATTTAATTCTTCTTTACTTCTTATATTTCCTCTAAATTACCAAAATTCATTATTTTTAAGTTTACACAAAAATATATTCCATTTATATATATATATACACTGATCATCATTTGAGAAATGCTCATTTTGTTTCAATGCAAGTAGAAAGCTCCACAAAAAAAACATGAAACTTACAAACTAAATATATAAAGTCAATCATCTATAAACAGCTTTTGATGACGCATCAAAATGAGATAAAAATAAACACAGAAATGGAGAGAGATAAGAACGTCAAGCCTGGTTAAAAAGATGAGACTAAAAGGGAAACTTGAAAAGAATCTAAAGTGTGGATCTAATAAAGAATGACTTTGTTAGCCTAAGCTTTTCTGACAGGCTGTCTTACAGCCCTGGAGGTTTCAGTACAAGGTACGGAAAACACACCAGCAAGTGTTGTTTAAAGAGAGCATCTGTAGTAACAAGCAGAAGGAAATGATGGAAATGATACTGATCAGCCTGCTTTATAAAGAGCAGTTCAGCCAGAGGAAGGGAAAAGAATGATTCATGAATAATTTATTAATGCATCTTATTCCGAGGTGCAACGCAGGACTGCATAAATCATACAAAGCTTCACTTTAAATGCTTTCAGAAAGAAACACAAATAAAAAGGTATCAATGGTGATATCATTTTGCCTTCCAAGAATATGAAAAATGTTTGGCTGGTCTCTAAAAACTATGTTCTGATGACAAATGTAGCCTTATTGAATGTTTCAAATGTAAATGATTAAATAACTATGATCTCATTTACAAATGTTTAAAAAAAAATCATAATGGACAAAACACTAAATGGAGGCAGAGACTAAAACTAACTTTTTGAAAAGGTTTGCTTTGAAAGAATAAAAATATTTAAATACATAGTTAAGAGTGGAGGAAAAGTGTCCATGCCTGCAACAAAAGATGATATCTGATATTGATCTCCAAATGTATTACAAACTTTCAAAAGATATTCACAGTGGCGGGCACAGTTCTGCTAATACTCTAATAGAAGGTAAGAACCACCTGTGATGTCATCAACTTCGCAGTGCTGGGTATTCAATTCCTGGCCTTAAATTCTGGTCTTACCTGCACTAGAACATCATACTTGTCTTATGCAACAATGTCTATAAATATTAATTCAAATCAGATAAATATTTTCACATTTTTTAGTTTTCTGCACTATTAAATGCTGTCAGGTTCTCAACAGATGCAGCAAAAGAGATTTTTATTTTATTTTATGAGGCTCGACTATGTTGGCCTCTTTTAGCATTTCTTTTAAACAAACAACTAAATGAAGACGTCAATCAACAATATATCTGAATAATGCAAACAATATTTTGTTGCATCTTAGAACAAAAACACAATAAGAGGAAATCATTGCATTTTATTAAACTAAAAAAACTAGCTGGAGAGAATATATGCAAATTTACAAAGCAAACGCTACACTGTCTTTTCTTTGTGGATAAATACAGATTAAATTTTTTGAATATCACTGTGCTAGATGTTTCCCCTCAACAAAGTCCGTTTCAGGCACACAGCATTACTGGAAAATGCCTTATGCTGATTTGTGACAAATTGAATATATTTAACAGATGTTGCAGTTAACTGAACTAAAACAAAATTCATATAAAGAGACTAATTTTGAGCATGATTTGTTTTTTTTACTTGCAGCATAAGTTGTATTTGAAAAACTGCCAAAACTGACAGCTGGTCCTATCAAAGCTCTGCTTAGAGGTTGCAGAGTAGAAAGGTTAGCACAGTTGCTGAGGCCAGTAGAAACAAAAGAGCCGTGTGTTGAGAGACCACTAATGACCGCACCAATCTGCATTGTCCTCCCTGACACTCTTATCTTTTCTCCCCAGCTGCATATAACAACCATCCACCATTCAGTTAAAAAGAACCACCCAGATCAAAATCAAACATTCTGCTGCTAATTTTTTCCCTTTCTTACAACCTATTGAAACAGCTCCGATGTCTGTTTCATGTTTTAATCCCGTTATAATTTCAGCAAGGGAATTCAACAGCATGGTTGAGTAACAGTGGGAGTGAGGATGACTTTATTAATTAGCCGTTTTATCAGGAACAATGTCCCAACGGAAACGGGCTGCTTCGTGGAATGTATGTTGATTTATGCTATTAAAAAAAACCTAAATCAACTGATGTACAGATTACATCAATGCACCTCTGGTTTTAACTTGCATCTGATAATTATTTTACTGAACTGCATCACTGTCAAGCACGTACGCTAAAATTTGGTATAGATATATTATATCTATATTAAAAATATGTATAGTGTTCAACTACAGCAAAAACTTGTATGGTCAGAAAAAATTTGAAAGAAAAAATATGACATCAAACCTGCAGGTTGTTGAGGGGATCCATCTTCATTACAGGTCCAACAGTGTTGAGAGGAAGGGTCACTTCAATACTCTGGTTTGGGCTCAGAGGGGTCAGAACCTGAAGGGGACCAGCAGGAGCAATACCAAAGCTAAAAAAAGACAAAAAGGAATTTAAAAAAAATTTAAAAAAAAAATCACACATTCTGTTTCTTGACTAATATTACTGTATGAGCTGCTGTAGAAGTTGTTTGCACCTGTTTCTGTTGAACTGGATGGCAAAATCTGTCATCACACTCATTGCTTTATTTGTCAGGGTCATCTCCATTTGGAAGACCCCAGCACGGCGAGCAAAAGTGCCTGAAATTTCAAGGCCCTTGCCTTTCGCAGCTGGCAGCCAAACCTGAGCAGAGAGAAGATCACTTCTTTAAAAACTGATCTATGGCGATGCAGAACTTTTAGGGTTGTATTCCAGTGCACTGATTCACCATTTTGGGGGGACTAAAGGCTCCCATAGGCATACCAGCTCCACCTCCGAGATCAAACAGGTCATCCAGGCCACCACTAAAGGGGGCATTGAATGAGGCTGGCATTGCAGCTGGAGCAGCACCAAAACCAGCTCCCATCTGTGAATCACAATGCAACAAATGACACGTGCAGTGTGGCACTGAAATCAAGTAATCAATACCTAAAAATGTCAGAGAAAATGACTTACAGCAGAATTTCCTCCAAGGTCTCCACCAAGCTGATCACGAGAAAGAAACAAAAGAAAGTTTAAAGCAGCAATACAGATTAATAATTGCATATGCAACACTAAATATTGTTCTGAAAGGTTTAAAGAGGGTCATAGATGGATGGAAGGATGTGAGGGTCATGGAAAAGTAACTTTGGTAATCAATATAGGGTTCACATCCTAAACAAGTAATAATAGTAAGGGAATATCTACAGACATGAACGCCTTGTATTGATATTCAACAATTAAGGATTAGCATGTCTAAAACTAACAGGTTTATTCAAATACTGCTAAATGGATGCATCTATAGTGTTGGTGAAAAAAAAACTGAGCACAGTGGTCCGTGTGAATCCATGAAGCAACAAAGCTGATACAGAACATTGATGTGGTTTGCTAAAATCCCACCTACAGTTTGAAAACAAACAGTGCAACACAACGCCCAGACACAATGTGATTTTTGCTGGGTATTACTATTGAGAGGAAACAGTGCTACGGCAGGGGACAAGAGGTGTTGGATTCTAAGCTTTACAGGTCCAGCATGGTCTCCTAGACCAACCTCAGAGGGGCTGTATTCTGGGGGTGATGGGGACTGTTGTGGTGACTGAGGTGTGATCATCCGCAAAGGAATGGGTGGCTGTTTGAAAAAATGACAAACACTGAAGAGCTCAAAGATAAAAATCAGAAATGGACTCAAGAATTTGACATCATGCTCAGTGTACATATTAGGACAATATGAAATGAGAAATGAATGAATAAAAACTACTGGCAGAGAATAAAGAGCCCACATTGTGCTTGTAGCTATACAGCATTATATTAGATCTACAACTACTTCTGGAGTCAACTCAAAATCAAGATGGCTGCCACAGCTAAAGAAACTTAGCAAAAAATAAAACTGTTATAACTTTGTCAACTTTGCAAGCATTGAGCTAAAATGATGTAGTAGTAACTGAGTGATCCACAACACATACTTGTGATCTCAATGTTGCTTGAGAAATCTTGTAATGTTAATTTTCATACAATAGTTAAAATAGTTGTAGCTCAAATTCTCAACATTAGATGATTTTTTTTTTTTATATCCGACATTAAAAGCAGCGATAGATATGCATTCCATCAAAAACTGCATTGCAAGGTGTAGTGGATGAGCAACTTTGAGGAAAAATAAGGCACATTAACCATAGAAAGGTTTAGATTTGTAAGCACGAGTAAATAAATAAACCTACACCTCAGAACAGTGATGTACAAATTCTAAAGATTGTCAGATTTTGAGTGATTGTACTGGACTGAGTGATAAATCTTTGTTCTTTGTCTCCATGTAAACCTAACAGGAAAAGCAAAACAATAACATAATAAAAGGCTGCAGGCACTGTGTACTACCTTGAAAATTGTCAATAACAGGGTTGTCATTGGTTTTTTTATACATTTGTATCCAGGAGACGTGAGCAAGAAAAGGTGACTGTGAAATACTAATAACAATTAAGATAAACGTATCAGATTTTGTGTTTTCATATTGATTTTTGTGGCATAGAGCAGCCTGTGTGGCTTGCTGCTCTTAACATTCCCTGAGTGTACACAGCTTGTTGACATCAATGCTTCCACTTAACAAATCATTACATCAACAACACTCTTTGGCCGAGCTAGCCGAACAATTACAGCCGGCTGGCCTGTTGAGGGGAGCTTTTAGAAGACAAGATGACAAGAAGTGCTTGAGCAACCGTGCAGTTTTTGCTTGATGCTATTCTAAACCTCTAAAATAACACTCAACTTGTACCCAAGCAGTGTATGGGCTCTTCAGACTGGATTTTTAATATTGGCTTTAAATTATTTATAAATAGTGCATTTTCCCTCCTTGTAGTTACCGGCTCAGACTCATCTCCCATCTGCAGGTGCAGCGTTGAACAAAGAAAACACACAAGGTCAAGAAGAAAGAAAAAGCTTAAAAGTAATTTTTTATAAAGGCAAAATGTAAAGATAAGACTGAAATAAATGGACAGAACACAGTTTTAGAAAACTGTAGTTTCTCAGAGAAGTGTGCACACACACACACACACATACAGATAGATAAATAAAAAAAATACCAGGCTATCCAGTCCTCCTCCAAGAAGATCCATAGCACCCATCTGCACACCAGAGGTGACTGGTGGTGGTGGTCCTGTGGTGGTAGGGGGAGTCAAATCAAGATTGAGAAGATCACCCAGGAGGTCTCCCTGGGATGGGATGACAGCAGGTGGAGCATCAGAAACCCCAGCAGCAGAGCCCGTGTCTGGGCTCTCAACACTCTCCCCACTAGTAAAGAAAAACAAAGAAAGTTTAAAACAATAAAATGAATATTTTATGATTTACTATTAAAATAACATACAATCCTAGTATTTTTTTTTAATCGTTAAAATTTTATGAAGATGCTTATATCATTACCTCTTTAATCTAAAAACAATTTCATACTAGTGCAATTCAAATTTTAAAACCAAAATCAAAATGTGATGTCCTAAACCCTTCTGCTTAGACTAAACAAATAAATAAAAATACTATGACTCACGATCCAGCACTGCCTGGAAGTCTCTTGTGCTGAACACCACGGCTGCCCTCAACAAAGGCATTGGGGGGCTTGTGGTAGACGGAGGCCAGAGTACCAATGTGGCAGATAAGCTCCTCCAGCAGGGTCGGCTCAATCAGATCGGTCTCCTCAGAAATTAGAGGCTTCTCAGCCAAAACCACCTCCTTGGCAGCAACAGGATCCGTAGAGAGCAGACGCCAGTAGATGTAGCCTCTGTCCCTGAGGTCTGGGTTATCTGAATCCTGCAGAAAGACAAAGGAACAACAAAGATAAATTATAAGTATATGTATTAAATATTTAATGTTGAGAAGCTTTTCTTTCTTGGCCCTGAAATGAGATTTAAAAAAAAAGAATGACACTAAACAGTTTGCCTCAGGGAAATGCTAAGATGTGGATAATGCATGAAACAACCAGAGACTACATTTTTGTTTGAAAGCTTTTATAATTTGGGGGAAATTTTCACTAACCTGCTACTTTCCAGGCACAAGACACAAAACAATCAGATCCATCAAAACTATAAAAAGCAACAAGTCCTCCAAGATCTATTTCTTTTTAGAAAATCCTAAAATAATGTGTAAAGTTGTGACATCATAGCCAAAATCTAATAAATTATTTGCCAGTTTACTATATTTTTAAATCAAACATTTTAGACACTAAATTTAATAGGCATGAAAATTGCATGTTGAGGTGCTGTGTGTATTTTCTTATCTTCTTGTTCATAACTATGAAAATCTGCATCTAATGAGAACAATTTAGACTTATTAAATAAAGGAATGAAGAGCAATAAAGAGCAAGCAGCCATGTGCAGACGCAGATAATGGCACAACATTTAAATGTATAAGCTGAACCATCGCTTTGTTTCCCCCACCTCACCTGTGTGGCTAAGCTTAGAACCTGCTGCACCAGCTCCTGTGTCTCTGTGGGCTTTTTCAGGAACAACTTGACAATTGCCGTCAATAGCTGCAACTGCACCTAAATGTCAGAGTGAAAACACATCAAGTTACAACAGCTCATATAGGGCACACAAAATGGACTGCCTAAACATGTAATACTGCGGCAAAATGCCTTTTTACGATGATCTTTAAGAACAAAGGTTTACTGCACTGCAAACACATTTTCAATAAATAAGTTTTTACCATTCAGGGCATAGCTATGTTTCACAATTACAGTCCAAAACGGATTATTTCAAGTTAAATGCATTTCTTGCAATCCTTTGGGTTCGTTGAAAAAATATTGTTCACAGTAATAACATTTTATGTATAATATGTATATATAAATAGTTAAATGTGTTTGTATGCATTCAGCTCATTGAAACAAGGCATAATTTTTCATGAAATGTGATTCAGTTAAAAGTAATTGTCTAATATACATCTGCATGGCTTCAGTATGTGAGAGTAAACGATCATAGTATGGACAAAGTTCCTGGAAAAATACCATTAATATTAGCATTGTAATCATGTTTCAAATTCAAGCATTTGATCTTAATTAGTATCACAGGTGGCTTAAAGCATTTCATCAGCAGTTCTATTTAAAGCGAACACATGCCACTGGGTAGTTTGGTATTGTTGTGTGCACCACACATAAATCCGAGGAAGCAAAGACAAAAGCTGTTTGAGGAGTTCAGAAAAATATATATAATTATACATTATAAATAAAACGATTTTAATTGGCTAATATTGGCCTGATCAAAAATAAATAAAATCACAATCTGACATGCTTGTGCAAAAATAACAGATTGTTAAGTAGGAAAATGAACAAAATAAAGCAGTCGCTACAACGTGGTTACTGCAGCCCAGTTATTTTTGTACAACCAAGATGCTCTTTTACATATTATAAAAAGGTGTACAACTTTTTGTAAGGGTTGTTAAATCTACATTTATTTGAGTAATTATTGTTAAATTCTGTGATATAAAAAATAAACACTGGCCAAAAATAAATAATTGTGTTGTACACTGGCTGCCTTGATTACTAAAAATCAACATCAGAAATAGAAAAACTCAGGTGACCTCATTATAGATATCCATGTTAAAGATAAAAGGTTTAAGACCATCTCGAAGCAGCTTCATGTTCATTTAGCCAGAAATGCCAATATTATTACAAGTATAAGGTTCATGGGACACTTGCCAATCTACCTGGACATGGACGCAAGAGGAAATGCAACCCCGGGCTGATCAGACAGTGCAGATCGTAGAAAAGGAGTCAAGAAATTAATTTGAAATCATTCAACCTGAACTCCAAGGTCAAGATTTGTCACTTTCTGATGGAACCATCTCATTTTAAATAATTACGGACTACATGGAAAAAGTGCCATGCAATGTGAGATTTTATGATTTAATATTGCCATCGATATTTATCTGTTGCAATAAACCCAACATTTTCCTCACTACCTTGTGTAATCACTATCATCATAACCAGGTGTGCGCATCAAGGTCACTGAAGGTCCAGTCTATTGTGCTCTAGTATAATAGACTATGGAGGCAGTTTTTAACGGTTCTAAGCATCTTCCTATGAGCTAAAATTTTAATAGTCTGAACTGACCTCATCTACACAATTTCTGATGCATCCTACTGTCTTTTACTAAATGTATGTAAAAGAGTGATATGAAGAGAGATCTAGCATTTCTAAAGTCTTGCCTTGAACATTCTTGTTAAAGTACAATTAAGCTTTTTACTTCTCAAATTTCTTTAAACTTCTCTTGAAGTTTATTAGTAAACTACTGTGACAGTTAAAGAAGACATGGTACTTTGGTAACTTTTTTAAAATGTTCACTGCTTTATCAAAGTTTATCTAACACATTATTTTATTTCCAAGCCCAAGGAACTTTAAGCACTAATTATAAATTAGAGGCACTACAATGGTTAAAGTCACATTTTTTTCAAAATAACAGCAAACCCTACACCACCCTAAACACACCTGGGTGCTTTCATCATGGAAGCCCTCCAGAAAGCTTTCCAGCAGCTCATCAGCATTGTCAATGCGCTCAGCATACTCCCCTACAATCCAGATCATGGCAGCACGTGCCTCTGGCTCATCCAATGAGTCAAGATTCTCACACAGAGTGGCAATCACACTCTCATACCTGTAAACAGTCACAAGGAAACAACATTACGCGATATGAATTGTAATAAATAAGTGAAAAATTAGAAGTTGGAAAAAAAACATTTACTACAATTTTCCTACACTGAAAAAAATTATTGCTAAAGTTACCAGGTGAAAAGAGAAAAAAAACAATCTCAAAGAAATGCAGGCTGATAGACTATCAACCACCACACATAAGGCTTTTAAAACCAGGTATCAAACAAACTTCTACTTTTCAACATAAATTGCATTTTACAGTATACACAAACATCAGCATTACCTGCAGAGTTGTGTTTTGTAGAAACCTGGCAAATGCTAATGTATTTACTCCTCTTGAATCTATGATTCGGAGCCTTTTATGCTAGATGCTAAAGAATAATGCTATCTAGAGTGGTTAAAATACTTCTCATCTGCATAAAAATCCAGTGGAATTACTAATTCCATTTACATGATAATTTTACCACAAGATATGCTGTGATGCAAATGCTTAATTGGTAGAAAAAAGCAAAGTTGAACTAGATGGTGACTAATTTAGCCCAAGGAGTGAACAATGCCAAGCTGAAAGCTCTGCAAAGCAACTCTCCTAAAGGCTCACGACTCCAGGGGGAGAGTGTACTGCTGTGTGGGAGAGCTTTCTGTCTGGCACATGAATCCACCTCATAGTGGAAGTCACAATGCAGCCAAATCAGCCTGACCTTTGACCATAAGCAATCATGGTTAGACATCAAAAGAGTGTCCATGACATATAAACTTTGCTTTTTTATGCTTTGTTACAGTGAGCTTTCACTACGACAATTTACAGAGCAAGAAAAATAAGTGAAGGCCGTCTATGTCTGAATAAGCCTCTTTGTGTTAACAATGAAAGTTACTTTCATAAACTCAAAAAATGTTCCAGAATTCTTCAAATTTCTTGTGAAATTATGATTAAGGGTGAAGGCCATGTTTATAGAGCATAAAAACTTTAATTTAACAGGTAAATCAGCCTCAGCAAGTTCTTATCTACTTGAATTTTACCACTGAAACTATATAATGAAGTCTTTAGAAAATATGCACATGACCGTGTTCACATTAGGAAACTTACTTGTTGGGGTACTTGCGAAAAATGTCCTTGATGACTACAATGGCCTCCTGCACCACATAATTGACCTTGGTCTGTATGAGATCTAGCAGTGTGCTGACACAGCGCTCGGCTGATTGCTAACAAACAGAAGGAAAAAAATAATCAGAAGCAGCAGTTTGGAACAAAAACACGTGCACGTTTGGATTCTACACGTTACAATGAAGTATAAACATACTGATAAAGTGAAGGTATACTTGTTTCAGCCATGGTTTGACTTATTGGTGATCGTTCATCAGTCTCAGTGTTGTGATGTGACTGAGAATAATTATGAATAAATGTGTGTACTGCAAATATAAACATCTGCCTGATAGTGTTTGACCAAAAAAGTGCATGATCTCTTTCTGTTAAGGCCAAACATTGCAAATGTAACTGAGGTATCATGATTATCATTTTTTTTGACAATGACTTAAGGGAAACAAATTGGAGCCTGAACATCTACTGCTATTATGATAATATGTTCATTTGTGACACTGTCTGATTGTTACTGCTGAACTGTTTGAGCTACATACCATTGTAAAAAAAAAAAAAATCTCCAGCTGTCAGTTCTTGAGTTCTTTGTTAATTATGAGGTGAAAAATCAACAACACACCCACCTCCACTTTGATGGCACAGCGGCCAATGGCCCTGACTGCTTTACGCACAAAGTCCACATCCACCTCAGTGGCATACTCCTTTAACTCAGCCAGCACCTACAGTGAGACAGATTGTTACTGAAACTTTTTTTTCTCCATTTTAAAAGCACCTTACGATTATGATTGATTCTACCTGTCAATACGTTACCTGGGCAATGTTGGCTTGCGATGCAAGGCGAATCATGATGTCCAGCTTCTCCAGTTTGACATAAATTGGGTCGTTGTACTTGACAAAGAAAACCTTCATTTCATGTTTCAGGATCTCTGGGCTATGTCACAAACACAAACATGTAAGTAGCGCAAAGGGAATGAAGCACAACACATCTGCTTCATCACAAACGTAAAAGTTGGCGAGAAAACTACCCCAGACTCACCGTCTCTGGACAATAAGGTTGATGTTTCTAAGTGCCACATACTGCAACTCAGGCTCAGCAGAAAGGAGAGTGACCAGTGGTGGAGCGAGCTTCTTCAGCAGGGTGCCATAATAATCCAAATCTTTGGGGAGCATTTCCATGAACTTCATTAAAACTTTAACTGCTGACAGCACCACGGCAGAGTTGGCATGGGAGAGCCGCGGGGTGACACGCTCACAGATGCTGGCAGATGTTAATGATGTTAAAAAGGTAAGATAAAAATTAAATAGAACCTTGGGGGAACATAAACCCACTGACAAGCAGGAGGGGAAATTTATTAATAGCAGTATTAAAAAAAAGACTCACCTTTGAGACTCACGGTCATCACGAGGGGTGTAATTGGCCAGACAGTCAAGGATAAATATCTGTCCCCACTCTGTACATTCATTAAGAGCTGTCAGCAACTTATTAATGGTCTGAGGGTTTAGGTCCATCAGATTACTATTGGGATGAGACTCTGCAATTTCAGACAGTGCTGCTACTGCATTTGCAACAACCTAAAGAGGAAAACAAGGAATCAAATTAATACTAACCTAAATATGCAACAGTAACTGTATTAGGAGAGACTTGTGCAATTACAGAGGTGCAATAAGATGTTTAACAAAGTATAACATTTGGCTCAACTCAATAGCCAGATGTTTCTGGGTTACTGAAGGAATCATACCATAGGGTTGGAGTCTGAAATGAGATCTTTAAGGGTGTCCAGGAAGCCTTGGTCCTCTACCAGCTGGGCATTAATGTCATGAAGCTTTGCTACACACACAGCAGCTGTCTTCCTCACATAGGGGTCTTCATCCTTCAAACATTTTCTTAGAGGCTCACAGAGGTACTCGGTGATCTTGTCCACACGAATACAGCCCATTGTACGAACAGCAAGTGCTCGGATTAGAGGGTTGGGATCTTCACAGTCCTAGATGGATGATCATAGAGGTCATAAATTTAATGTCAAAATCACACTTCAATTTGATTTCATATTTTCTTGTTTCAACATCTTGTAAACTAGAAAAGCATTTGAACTGCGTCATCACTGCTCTTCTGAAGTAAAACAAAAAAGCAAAAAGGTTACATGCTTGAACAACTGTTGAAGGCAACATTTAAACTAAAACCGTGAAGTTTGGCAGATATTGCACAGAAATCTGAGAATCTCATAAGAGAAATGACAAAGAAATTCACCTTGCAGGGAAAAATTTTGCTTACAACAGCATGAATAAACAGATTCAAATTACAATTTAATTATCTTAATTGTTATGTGTTAAATCAATGTTATACCAATGTTATATGTAACTACCTGAACTTGATAACTTCCAGTTATCCAAAGATACCGTAATTTCCAGACTATAAGCTGCTACTCCCCAGCCCTCACCCCCCACATTCTTTGTACACCGCAGCTTATACAATGCTGCACTAATTTAAGGATTTTTTTTTGAGGAGGCTAAATGTTTTGGCGGCATGAAGTTCGTTAGCCCATCACACCTGGGCGCTCACATAGCTGTCCAATACATGTCTCTCTTGGGGGGTGGGTCCTCGTGACTCAGTGGTGTATAAATAAAAGGTTAAATTAAAAAAATCAGACCAATGAAATTACCAAACAGGTCACAGTGGACCAATGAAACGGGGAGGGGAGGAGAGAACGAGGAGGTTCTCTCCTCCCCTCCCCGATGTGCCCCCAGGGAGGGGGGCCCTCCTCCCCGTTTCAAAAGGCAGCTGCGTGGACAGCACAAGCTTACGCAGGAGGAAGGTGAAGATAGCGATCAGTGACTTCCTGGTGGGCTACTGTATATTTATTTTTAACAGCCGTGTTACAGGCACTGTTCAGAAAAATAAAACATTTATCGTACTGTATGTATTTGTGTAGGTTATCAGTACATATTTAATTAAAAGTAGTTTTTAAAATCTTTCTGTGTAAATATCTCATGTTACAATGTGGACATCCACTGCTTACACTGTAGACAAGTGCGGCCTATACTGTATACAGCGTTTCCCCTACCATTATACAAGCAGGGCGCCCCGCTCCGTCAACAGAACTGAGCGTCCCGTCTACTGAACCCCACCCCCAACCACCTGTCGGCACTGACATAACGCTAAACTAGCGGCTTGCAATGCAGGTGCACTAGCTAAAAAGCTAAAAGCAGCCTCTTCCTTCACACTGAACCCTCACGCTGAACGCACCCCTGCCACTCGAAAACTGTCGGTATAAACAGCACACGGCTCAAATGTGCATCTGTCTCTCCCCCGCACAGACACCCCCTGCCAAAAAAAAAAAACTGTCTGTTCAGACACTGCGCGGCTGAGATATGTCTGTCTCTCTCCTCTCACACACCCTGCTCTAAAACTGTCAGTACAAACAGAACACAGCTGTCTCCGTGTCCCCCCAAAACTGTTGGTTTAAACAGCGCGCTGCGCAGCTTAGGACGAGTCTCCGTTTCAGTCCCCCCCCCGGACAAAAATCACGGACGAGATGAGCACCCCGCCATGGCAAGTTATCTAGGGGAAACACTGTGTATATGTACAAAATTATTATTATTATTTTTTTTTATTTAGTGGATACGGCTTATATTCATATGTGATCAATAGGCTGGAAATTACGGTAATCCAAATGGTGAAATTCTGAACTTTTTTTTTTCTACCAGACTAGTTGCACACCTTTACAGCAGTTGCCAATAAACAGTAGACATTATTCAACTCGAAAGAGAATATTAACTGATGATTTCATACAACTTGTATATGGAAATTACAAACTTAAATGTACCTTCACAAAGGTGTTAACAGCCATGATAGCCATGTCTGGCTGACTTTTGGCATAGTTCATCAAGTAGAGGTAAACCAACTTTTTTAGTTCCAGGTTGTCAGTTTGCATGCAGTTCACAACATCTGGAAACAGAGCACTGCAAGAGGAACAAACTGTAATGTAACTTCTGACAAATATATATATCTTCTGACAATATTTCCAGCTGCTCACCTGACATCTTTGCCTACTGTCATTGATGCTATGACCTTTTTCACAGCCTCCTTCTTCTTCTCTTTCTTGTCACTGTTTAGCTCTGCTTTGAGCTCAAATATTTCCCCTGATCACATACACCAAAGAGAAAAAAAAAAGTCAAGTAATTAAATAGCAAAAGAGATTAGGAAAGGTGTACCATATAGATGTACCCAGAACACAATGTAGATACAATGACAAACAATGCACATTAATTTGTCAAAGACTTTAAAAATAAAACGGTGTTCAAATGGTTTGCTTGTGGACCTGCAGTTCTGGATTTTAGATGAAGGTGCAGGAAATAAGGCAATTGTTTTACTATCTGACAGATGTAAAGCTTATAGTAATTCAGTAGTTAAACTCTGAAATTTATTGAGCACGCCTAAATAAACCAGCAAGTTTTTTTATATCTTTTTTTTTTCAATACTTCTAGATATTTGTTAATGAGCAATATTTTCTGTTAAAGGTTGTAGCAACTTGCAATACTGACAAGATGCTTCTGCAATTTTTAACAAAAAGATCCAATAGAATTTTAAAAAATGTTTACTGCTTCTTGGTTGTTGGAAGGGTTCTTAATTTCTATCAAAAAGTCTTTCATTTCTTAATATATTATAAAGCCTTTTCGTTGTAAGATCATCTTTATTGTGATATGTATCCCAGTCAGATAAATCTCATCAAGCAGATGAGTCTGTACAACCCATTGCAAATTATTCAAAGACGTAAAACACGTTAACTAAGGATAAAACACTGCTGTAAGGTAGCTAGGAGGCAATTTTTTTCAGTTTTTACAGCTAAGCGAATAGGCACACAAATACAATTCATCTTGAAATACTTAATGGAAGTTTTCCCTCTGAATAATCTGAATTTGGAGTGATGATTATGAAAAAAGCTTCATGTCATCGTGGGAAAATATTATGTCAGACTTCAGCAAAGTGTTTACCAACTTGTGTTTATATAAAAACAAGCTAATGTCTGTCATCGGTGCAAGGTAATTTTTTACTTTAGTTTGATCCTAACCATATAGTTAGCAAAACCCTCAAGATGTTAGCAAACGGAATTAAAGAAATCAACAAAAACACAATAGATTCTAAAATGAAAAAAGCAAGTTCAATTACCCCTAAACCTTAGCTTGATTCAAAACAACTTCTACTTTAAGAAGGATTTGCACTTTTACATGTGCCTACAAGTTAGGAATATGACAGTGACTGTAGAATTATGCAGAATGTTGCACTCTGCAATTTCACTAATAAATGTCAACATGCTTTTCTTTCAAAATGCCAAGGGCAAGAACGGTTTTCTTGGTGAGATGTTTATTTTGTACACGTGTTTAGTTATATAGTGTCAGGTAACATTACAGTACAGTTTCTGCACTCATTAAGCAGTTTTAGGCTTTTTAACTCCTGTAATAATTTAAAAAACACAGATTTCTTCCATCTTGATTTATAGTGCTTCTCCAGTGGCCGTTCCAAAATGTTCACATTATATTTTGCATAAAATAATGCAGGAATACAAATAAATCTCATAACTACAACTTATCACTGAGTTTTACATTTTAGCATGGTATGTCATAATTATATGCACAATTAGTAAGCTATCAGACCTTTCTTAGTAGTGGTGAAGTACTTGGAGTCTGTCATCTTGGACCCAAACTGTCGGTTCTCCTGCAAACAATAAAAAAAGAGGACTGCAAAATGTGTTGAATGAGTAAAAACTTCATATCAGAAGAGCAGCAGGAAAGGCTAGAAATGCAAACGAAGGGAAAGAAAAGGATTTCCTGTCTTCTCCTGAACAAATAACAAAAAACCAGGAAACAATGGGTTTTGCTGAGAAACTAGATCTCAACATGTACTTTTATAAAAGATACGTCCAAGTCAGCTTTAATGGAGCCAATAACAAAATTCTTAAACCAATTCTGAATGTCTTTTGCAGTGTAAGTGATGAGTATTTCCTGTTTTTGTATTTTGAGTTTCATTTAAACAAACATCTATCTCCTTGTCAATTTTTTTCCAGTTTGTAAGATGAAACTTCTCCAGTTTCTCCAGTGTTCTTATTAAAACATGCAGATGATCCACAGAAAGCTAAACTAGGAATTTATTCAGAAACTTTGCAAATACAAATGGTTCATTCATAGTCATATTATTTTGGTATGTGGCAATGATCGTTTATTGGCTCAATTGCCTTCAGCAGTGGCGTAGTACAAACAGATACCATTGTGATAATTTTAGAAATATTTCAGTTTGGTACGCTTCAAGCTTGTTACTTCAAGTCCAATTTCTGAAAATGTTTCGCTATCAAAATCTGCGCATTCACTGAAGGTGAGTAGGATGTTCCTAAAAACAACTAGGATATTGTTCTGTGATCTCTTATCAGTTATCAGGAATCATTTGATTGTAACTGATCAAACTGCAATGCTTAAATTAGAATTAGGTATGTTACAAAATTTCTGTAGTTTTTAATATTAATCTACAATTACTCAGCTTTCACTTGATACCAACTTTTGTCTATATGAACAAGAAATAAGATATGGAATTTTGAATCATGCCACAATGAGTCACTGCCTGTTATAGTTATTCATTCATTATCTTTCACTTGTTTTGCAGTTGGATCACAGGGACAATAGGTTAAGCAGGGAGGCCCAGACATCTTTCCACAGCCACCTCTTCCAGCTCTTTTGAGAGGACTCCAAGGGATTCTGAGGCCAGCCAAGAGATCTCACCAGCTTGTCCTGGGTCTTCCCCAGAGGTCTCATCCCAGTTGGACAGTGGGCATCCTTACCAGATGCCCGAACCACCTCAACTGGCTCCAATCGATGTGGAGGAGCAGCGGTTCTACTCCGAGTCGCTCCCGATTAACTGAAATTATTACCCACTCTTTAAGGGAGAATCCAGCTACATTGCGAAGGAAACTAATTTTGACCGCTTGTATTCGCAAGCTTGTTCTTTTAGTCACTTCTCAGAGTTTGTGACTATAGATGCTGGGAACGTAGACCAACCGGTAAACAGATCAGCACAACTCCCTCTTCACCACAATGCACTGGCACAGAGTCCACAATACTGAGGAAGCTGCGCTGAACTGTCTGTTAATCTAAGGCGATATTATTACGGTAACTCCTCCACTTGAGGCAGGACATCACTCCCAACCCTGAGAGGGCAATCCATGCCTTTCTGACCAAAGACCATGGCCTCAGATTTGGAGGTGCTCTCATACTGATTTTACCTCAAGCTAATTAGTTGTTAAGTGGGCACATGAGTTCAATTTTAATTTTCTTCAACTTATTCATTTTGGTTTCTTTAGAAATGTATTTTCAAGCCCATTATTATGTTTAATGTGTTATAATGAGGATAATTTGTTTTGCCACATTCCTACATTACTTTTCTAATTGTTTTCAATTCTTACAGAACCAAATATAACTTGTCCCAAATCTGTACTGAATATTTACAGGTTGTGTTGTTTTGCTCAATGAATCAGATGCTAATAATGTTGGCCAAACAAATAAATCCTGAACAAAACAACATTGAACATTTCATCACATTAACTCATCACAATGCAAGATATATTAGAAAACATCACAAAAACTGAGGTCAGAAACAAGTTGAGCATTGTGTTAATGTTTGTATAATTTCTTTTGTAATATTATATTGACTTGAAACTTTAAGACAGTCTCTAAAAACAACTTCATTACTTATATTAACATGCAAATCTGTAGAGCTAAAATTACAAGTATCGTCTTGAGACAAACATTGCCTTGACAATAACCAGTGTTTTTACAAAGCACTGAATCATGAAGCTTTTTATTAAACAAAAATGTAACTATTAGTCAAAAAGAAAAACGAGTGTTTGTGACTTTAATTGTAAGTTTTAACTAAACAATGCTGCGATGTGCAAGAACAATTTTCCACAGTTATTTGATACATACGAAAAGAGTATTTGATTTTATAGTTTGTCTCCTGGTGAGCATAAGGATTTGACAAGCAGCAATTTTTTAATCTTACTTAAACACATCGATGAGTTAGCGCTGACGAAGTAGCTAGCTTCGATTCGACTTTAAAGACGAAATATTACTTAAAACAGCAAACTGACAACGTGATACTCAAATCCTTTAATATATATACCAACTAACAACACGAATGTGTAGCTCAGGTTGGCTTTAACATAATTCATTGAGCCACAAAGTGAAGAAAAAGCTTGCTAACTGATTAGCTAATGGTGTTAGCATTTCGAGTGTTTTGGTTTACAAGCCTAGAGTATGCAGTTTAAGGCAACATAGTTAGCTAAATTAGTGTCAATAAGTAAGCAGCTATCGACTGTGTTCTACCCATTACTCACGCATAACTGGTTGGCCCATTCCTGCATGTTTGCGGCAGATGAATGAACCAGCTGCTAAAGGCTAGCGGCGGTACGTCTGCTGATAATTTGCCTGTCAGCCAACAGCCGAGACATGACCTTCTTATAGACGGGGCTTAAAGAAGCCTTTGTCGGGATAGTTAAGCTCTTAATCTATCGGCCTAATTCGGACCTTACCCAGCGAATTAACGTACCTTCTGGAGTTGTAATGAAGTTAGTGACACAGCGAATTAGAAGAGAAAATCTCCAGTTTACCGTCTCAGGCGTAGATAGAGCTGTGGCATTAGACTCCGCCCACTTGTTTTACTTCCGCCTTTCCACAAACTACCAACTGTCGAGCAACGTCATCGTACGTCCATTTAACTTTACCTTACTGTTTACAAGGCAGGGAACAGAGATTACAGCGTTCTACAGGACACTGGCAACATAATAAACTTGCTCGTCACCCACAGTGAAACAACCAAAGTGAGGCCACCAAACGATTTTAAGCGGTTGTTAAAATTTTTATTATTGAATGGACCCTAAAAGGTAAAATTTCTAAAATTGTTTCTAAACAAAATGTTACATTTGTACATTTCATTGATCAAAGTTGCAGAATTCTCATGTGTACACACAGATTTTAAACATTCTGCACAAATAAATCTTGAATTACAAAAATATTGTAAATCCATTTTTTTTTTTTTTATCTTACCAGCATTTTTATTTGTTTTATTAATTCAAACCCAACCTGCTTTTAACACTATACAGGGAAAACGTGAAGAAAAACACTGACAAGTTCATAAAGTTCAGAGGAAAATTTTTATTACAAGAACAATTTGACAGCGTTTTGAGAATTAAAAAAGTGAAACGTTGCAGTATTGCTATTGCATACATTTTGCCGTACACAATGTCAAGCAATCTGTACAGCTTACTGAAGAAAATGACATCAAACGACAACGAAATCACATCACATTCAGATCCTACTGGTTGACGTTAAAGATGAGCGAGACCAGCAAATTTCCTCATTTGTACAACAAGCTTTCTTTCAAATCACTCATCTTTATGGCCGTCAATCCATGTTTCCTCAAAGTCACAGTTCATGTAACTGGGTGATTTGAGACCCCGGTTAATTTAAAATCTTGAAATAAAACAATGTAAAACTGACAAGCCTTACTTATTTTATGTGACTTCAGCTGTCAAATAAATTATTTTGGTTGTAGGCATTTTTGAATGTTGGGGAAAAAGACAAATATTTCTATTCGTCTGAAGAATCCACAATTTTTAATAAACCGTTTAATTAATATGCTGAGAAAACTGATGAATCTTTTAATGGCTCACATTGTTGGATTCACCTAAATACTTATTCAGTTACAGTACTTTGGACACAGATGTCACCTGAGCCAGCTGAGACCTGATTTCATAAATAAATAAATAGACCAACATCCCTCCTTTCTTTACTCCAACTCTGTACATATTTTCATACCATATATATATATACAAACTTGCCTATACTTTCTTTTTAATCCATACTTAGTCATGCAAAAACATCTTTTCCCCATTTTTTGTTGTGAGAAGAAAAAAAAACAGCAGAATCATCTGGAAGTTTCTGCAGGGCACTGACTCCAAAACTCCAACTTTTCAACATTCAAATACAATTTATTTTACAAAGTCTACAATTGACACATACTTAAAACTGGATTTTTATCTCTGCCACTGAAATCTCGTCTGCTGGCAACAAGAGTGTCACAAGACAGCCTTATTATCCAGTTTCAGCGTTTATTATTCATGCACTTTGTTTCCACACATGCACAGTCAAATTACAGCCCGTCTTCAACCACCTAACATCGTTCCAATATTATCAGCACTAATCAGCATCACGTCAGTCTGAACATGTGCAGTTAAAAGAACAGATAATTTAAAAAATGTACAGTAAATGTCTCTTAGCCACTAGATGTCACCATTAGATGTGTCATTTCTTGTGTTTAGAACAGTTATCAAGTATCCTCTACATTGAGTTGTGTACAATTAAAAAGGGCAAGGTTTCTAATTTTTTGTCAGTATTCACACTGAATCCCTTCAATTTTTAATAAACAGTAAATAATGCTAATGTAGTGTCGTCAAACTGAAGCAAAGAAAACATTCAAAAACTCGTCTGTAACAAATCTTTTAAGGCAAAAGGGAATTGTCAAGGCATTTGCAACACCAATATTGCATAGCTAAGGCAGCACAGATGGTAAAACAGCAAATATGTACATTAAAACTGTATATTCCACATCCTCTATGTACAAAAACACCCACTTTTGACTGAGCACGTCGGCGTGTATTTACACATTCAATCTCTTCAGCGTCTGACTCCAGCTGCTCGTATATAAATGAAGTGCAGTTTGGTCAGAAAAGAAGCTCCTAACATTTCAGTTTCAGTGATGATGACACAGTTACACAAAACTCAACGCCTTTTCCATTTTTCATACCCGATTCACTTTGAAATATAAATTAAAACGTTGCGCTGCTGTAAAATAACCTTAAAACCAATTAGGCATTAAATAACGAATATTAAGAATGACAACGCCAACTGATGGCAAATATGGTTGACACAGTAAAGTAATACTGTACAACTGTAAATAAATTAGTGTATTTTTAATAAGTTCTAAGGAATGATGGAGCTACTTTTGTCTATTGTTACTATACTGTATATTTATGAACATAGCAAATCACACAAGATGACCACTGATATGGAGCATCTTAGTTATAACACCAGTATTTTGACCATCACAGTAAACAGAGTGTGTAATAAACTACAGGAGAGTCAATCCATTTGACTAAAGGTTTAGTGTTTTTATTGTGTGAGCTGTTTATAAAGATGAAACCTTAAATATTGAGCACTTTATTGAGACAGAACACACAGAAGTGCACATGCTCTCTATCTCTGAAACTCAACTGTGAAAGTTTTAGAACTGTCTTACTGATTGACAGACACCCCCACCACCACCCTTCCCACCACCACCCTTTCTAATATACACATTAAAATGATACCAAGCATAAAATCATACCTTTGGTAATAAATATTTTGGCTTGAGTGCAAAAAAGCAACGTGAACCTCTGGTGTCATTCAAGGAAAACAGTTAATTTAAAAGTGTGTATTTAACAGTTTTCATCTCAAGTCTTTTTTTGTTACACAGTAGTCAAAGTTTATGACAATGGCTGCGTCCATCAGTTTTGTATTACAGCTTCAGTGTCCAGGCTACTATGTGCAGGGTAGGAGCAATCCTTGTTGTCTGGGGGGTCTGTGAAGGCCTGCTGCAAGCTTTTGAATGAATGTGAGCACTTGGGAGACAGCGGTGGTGTGTGGCAGGGCGAAAGTGTTTCACGAGTGTGAATATTTTTGCAGCTGAATGGCGTGGGGATACGTGAGGGGGTGTTTAGTGGCCGGTTGTCAGTGCGAGGCTTGAACCTCCCAGGTTTGTGCTTAGAGCCCGAGTCCACGTCATTTGCATTCTGTTGCCCGTTTTCCCCGTTGGTCATAGGCAAAGATGGCGGTGGAGAGTCGGAGCGGGACTCGCTCAAGCTGAAACACGTGGAAGAGTTTTCACTTGAGGAATCCTGGAAGGGGCAGTCCTCAGAGGGGGAACGGGGTGCAAGCGATTGACCTTTAAGAGGCAGAAGGTCATTATTTTCTAGGATGTAAGTGGAGGTTGGAAGGTGATTTGCTAGGGGCACATTTTCAGTCATCGAGTCAAGCGGACTCTGTTGACCTATGAGCTCCCCTGTTGGAGCACAAATTCCAAGTTCTCCATTCAGATTCCTACAGTGGGAAGCAGACTGGGAGGGAATGTGATTCATTAACCTGTCTGTTTCTCTGGACAGAAAAGAGGGAAGTTCCTTCTCCTCCACTGAGCTCGAAATGGCTGGGAGCTTCTTAAGGCCATCTTTACGCTCCCCCCAATGTTCACGAGAACCTCCAAGATTTTGTCCAGAATGTACATTTAAAGGATCCTCCTGTGGCATGTGACGGAGATTAGTTCTTCTGGATTCCTTGAGGTCAGGCAGAGTTCCAATCTTTGTACCAACATTTAGGGAGGAGGTGGAGGAGTTAGAAGAGGAGTAAGCAGAGTCAGAGACAGTAGACTCGGTGAGTGCAGGTACACGATGAATCCCGGTTACCTGCAGGGTTGCTCTTCCTGGAGCCTTACTAATGACATTTTCTTTAACCTGCTGGGTATTGGCCAGAAACTCAGCCTCAAAGCTGCGGTACAGGTCCTGTTCCTTCTCAGGGTCTAACGGTGGCAGTATCTGGTATCCAAAGCACAGTCCTTCATCTTTGGGCTCCTGAAGCTTTCTGCCAGAGATGTTTTTGGGTTGGCCGCGTCCAGCAGAGCAAGGAGCCTGCGAGATCTGAGGGGATCGGGTAGCGTGGTTATAAGAGTTACGAGGAGATGGCTGTGTTGAGCGACGCCCTCCAGTGGTGACAGGTGGTAGTTGCCGGGCTCTCCCTGTGGATGGTGAACGAGGGGCTGGAGGTCTGGGTGTAGTTATAGTCCTCTTACTGGGGCTGTTGTTGTTGCTCTGGACTCCTTTTATAGGGGAATTAGAGCATGAAGATGACTGCTTCTTCGTAAGTCCAACAACCCCTCTAGGAGAGGATGGGGGTGCCTGTTTAGGCACCAGGTCCTCTCGTCTTCCTGATGGCGATGGCTGCACATCTCTAGAGGAGGAAGTGCTCCCACTCAGGGCATCACTTGAATAAGTACGCCTGGATAACATAGTTTGACTGTGGGAACGAGGAGGATGAAGCCTCCTGTGGACCTCATAACCCAGAGAGCGCCCCCTGTCTGTGCGAGATGTAGGCGTTCCATCAGGGGACCCTGGTGGTAGGTTCGGTTTGAGTGTTGGAGAAAACGATGGACGTTCCTGTGATTTGCTCCGGGCACGAGGCACTGAAGGTCTCTGGGATGGAGTCTGATTGCCTGAGCCTGTCCTCTCAATCATGTGCTTCCCTTCTTTGCGATTAACAAGTAGAACTACATCTTCACCAGAGTGCCACGAAGAACCGCCAAGTGAGCGCTTTCCTCCTCCTCCTCCTCCTTTGGAGGAAGCTGTAGAAGAGTCACTGTCTCCAGAAAGACGTCTTGTCATCTGCACCTTTGCCTCCCTATTCCTGCATTGCAAACAGAAAGTCATCAATAACTATAGAACAATTACAAACTTGAAAAGAAAAAGAAAAAATAGACCATAACTTTTATGTTTTAATTTGGAGTCATTCCCCATAGACATTGGCGGAAAAGGGGCAACATGCATCAATGAGAACCCCACAAACTATTGTAACTGATAAAACAACGTGGCATTTCTTGAGCAATACTGAGGATTTGAGAGTATTTGCAATCTGTAAACAAAGTGTTTCTAACCTAAGGCTTATGTGTGGCTTGTAACAAGGAGCAGTGACAACCAGGGGGATTACAGAGAAGAGCAAGGCGGGTCAGGATTAGACGTCTCATAGATTTTCTAACCTAACGCACACCACAGCTCTTTCTCAACCAAACACCACTCCACTGTCAACACTGCAACAGGAACATCAGGTTTACTTGCAGCTCATAGCTCACACGTTTAGTTGAACAAACCTATATATCAAACATCAGTTGTCAAGTAAAGGCTTTTATTACGTTTGTGACTGAAAATGTCAATTCATCAAAAAGTTTATTTAGATTGTTTCCTAAGCAAAACCAATTCCATTGTCTCTCATCTTCCTTGTAATCTTCCTGGTAGTTACTGCTCCTTGTTGCAAGATGTATGAGCCTTCAGTCTCTGAGGTCACTGATTTTTAGTCTGCAAATACCCACAAATCCTCAGCACGATCAATAAATGCCACATCGTTTTATAAAAAAGGATAATACGTAGTTTTAAGCATTTTTTTTAGGTTTATCAATGATTTTCTGATCAGTGTAACTGGACTTTTAACAATAAAAACAAAAAAGAACAACTGTCAAAACTCCACACATAAGTCAGCTTCAAATATATTTAGGGATAACACAAATTTCAGTCTTTTGTGTTGAATTATGGTGGAAGAGATGCAGATTTGACCATGTTCAAATCATTTTTCCTGCACCTTTTTTGTTGTTTGATAAGACACATATCCTGATGTTAATGTCATATCCCGCATGTTTACCTGCTTACTTCTGCATTCAGCTGTACGCAGCTGTCCAGGAATAGTTGTGAGATTGATCTTCACCTTTTCGAGCCCATGTTCAAATGGGAGGCTCTTCATTTTAGATTGTTAATCTGAATGAACTGTTGCCTTTATGTTTTGTCTGAATTGTCACAAAAGTGAAATGAGCTGCATACATGCTTGTAGGCAAAGTAAGCCACCAGTCTGCTCCTAAATGTGAAACTATGGCACAGTAAACTTTTAAGTTACTGGACAGGGATGTGACCACCTTAAACTGGCTTCGTACTCGTTCAGTCAATTAGTTTATAATGAAAAACAAGATAAAATTGAAAACATCTCATAAAGTCTCTATGATAGTTATCATATAGAAAAATAAACTGAATGAAATTGAGAAAAAAAAGTAGGAACAATTGTTAAAAATAAAAAATTCATCTTCTCCCACTAGGGGGTGCTGTTAGATGGCTGTGTGAGTTACATTTATTAAGGCACTGTCACCTGAGATTAGACAAATCTGCTCTGGTCTAATCTGTGGCTCTCTGGTATGTTTATGTACCGTGCTAATGTCCATCTGTGGGCGCCACACAGCGAGAAGCAAAAAACAAGCATGTCCTGTGAGACATTAACAAGGATAACACTGAACTGCACACTTACATGAGCCTGCACACTTACCTGAGAGGATTAAAGTGGCGTTGCTCTGAGCGGTCTCGTGGGGGCTTTGGAAGCAATGTACGTGCTGCTCCAGAGTCTACCTCGGAACGGGCAGAAGAGTTTTGGGATTGAGCTGGTCGGGTGGAAGAGGAAGCACTCTGAGGCTCCAGGGAGCGTCTGTCAGGAGTTTTGTAAGGCGCGATGCCATCATTTCTCCAATGTGGACCTGGGCTGGTAGAACGAGATGAATGGGCACTGGAGGACTTGCTCTGGGCTCCCTGACCTTGGCCACTGGCTTTAGACTGGTGGTATCGGTGAGCTGTGGAAACAGATTTATAAGTGGTTTAAACCACCATTGGCAGAGAGCCTGTTCAATCAACAATTAAAGACAGTTAGTGGTCAGAGAATCCACCGCAGCATATCAAGATGTCAACAGCAGCTGATAAAATAAGTAAAATTAATTTGGTACAGTTGATCAATATTTTACTACAGAGGCTTGACTATTGGGATTACGGGAACGGTTCTAAAATGGTTTAAATAGTATTTGTTTGATAGATTCCAGTTTGTAAATGTAAATGATGAATTTTCTTCATACACCAAAGTTAGTCATGGAGTTTTTCAGGGTTCAGTGCTTGGACCAATAGTCTTTAGCGTATATATGCTTCCATTAGGTAATGTTATTAAACAGCACGGGATAAATTTTCATTGTTATGCTGATTAAACACAGTTACCGGTATATTTGTCCATGAAACACAGTGAATCCAATCAGTTACTTAGTTTACAAGAATGTCTTAAAGACAAAAAAAAAAAAAAAAAAAACTGGATGACATTTAATTTTCTGCTTTTAAACTCAGACAAGACTGAGGTTTTGGTTTCAGGACCTGAGCATCTTAGGAATTAATTTAGCAGTCTTTCACTTCCTCTGGAAGGCATACATTTGGCCTCCATTTCTAAAGTTAAAAGCCTTTATGTTATTTTTGATCAGGACATGTCTTTTAACCCAACACTAAAAAAAGTTACCAGAACCACTTTCCTCCACCTGCGTAATATTACTAAAGTTAGAAACGTCTTATCTAAAAATGAGACAGAAAAACTGTTCCATACATTTGGCACATCTAGGCTGGACTATTGCAATGATTTATTATCTGGGTGTCCAAAACTTATTTAAAAAGTCTTCAGTTAATCCAAAATGCTGCTGCCAGAGTCTTATTGCTCCAGTTTTAGCTTCTCTCCATTGGCTCCCTGTCAAATCCAGAATTGAATTCAAAATCTTACTACAAAGCTCTCAACAACCTAGCTCCATCTTATAATAAAGATCTTATTGTTCCAAACTTTCCTAACAGAGCACTTTGCTCTCAGACTGCAGGTTTACTTGTGGTTCTTAGAGTTTCCAAAAGTAGAATGGGAGGCAGATCTTTCAGTTATCAGGCTCCTCTCTTGTGGAACCAACTTCCAGTTTATGTCCATAAGGCTGACACAGTGTCCAGTTTTAAGACTGGGCTTAAGACTTTCCTTTTAATAAATCATATAGTTAGTGTCAGCTTGGGTTTCCTGAGCTATCCCTTAGTTATGCTGCTATAGGCTTAGACTGCTGGAGGACAAACTGACCACATTTCATCACTCTGATGCTGTCTTTACTTACTCTACTCTACCTGGTGGTTTATGTAATTACTTGTATCATTAACATGTGTTTCTTCATCTTTCTTCTGATAGGGGGTACACCTGGACCTGTCATTCTGTGTTTGTTTCTACTTCCTGTCCTCCCAAACTCCAGCCGGTTGAAGCAGATGGCTGCTCATCCTGAACCTGGTTCTGCTGGAGGTTTCTAAAAAAAGAAAGTTTTTTTCTTTCCACTGTCGTCTTTGTGCTTGCTCAGGAGGGGAACTGCAACAAAGTGAATATTCAACGCAATCTGCTGGCTTCCTTAGACTTTACTAATTGGCTTTTATAATGCATGTGAACGTTTTTGTACAGTGTCCTGAGATGGCTTGTGTTGTGACTTGGTGCTATAGAAATAAACTGAAATGAATAAAATACAGTTGAATGATGAGTCGTGTTACTCAGAGGAGTTTAACAAGTTTAACAAGACAGTTTTTGGGAACAAAATAAGTCAGTTTTAAAATATTATGATGGCAGAGTGTAAATGGAATGTACTTATAGCATCTTTTTATCTTATCAAGATACTCAAAGTGCTTTACATTATAATCTGGACCCTCATTTACCCATTCATACAGCACTCTGTACAAAGAATAATCAGTGCTTTATCACATTCATACACTGATGGGACACATCAGAGGCAATGAAGGGTTCAGTGTCTTGCCCAGGGACACTTCAGCATGTGACTGCTGGTGGAATCGAACCCTAACCCTAACCCTCTTGCATTGGAGGACGACTGCGCTAATCACTGATCCACAGCTGCCCCATGTGAGAGTGGGTTACCTTTTGGTTAGAAACACTGTATATATCACCAGTGTAGATACCAGAGGCAGCTGTAAGCTCATCACCTGACTCTTCAGAAGGAATTCGGTTTAGGATGGTTGGTCTTATGGACGTGTGTCATTGTGCTGCGGATGTGTGTGAACAGGAAATGTCAGAACAGCTGAACGCTTTATACAAACCTGTGACAAAAATGGTATAATGCCCATAAAATGTTAATGAAAAGAGAATATGGCATGTCAAATCCTAAATGTGAGATGCATTGCTTTTCAGAAAATATTCTCTTCTCAACTTTAATGCAGGTGAATATTTTATTTAAAAATTTGTAAAAAAAAAAATAAAATTGCTTATTGCTGCTTGGCCACTTGCATTAATTACCTGAATCTTTTAAATACATTCTTTCAGCACTTCCTAAACTTTTGTAGAAATTATTTTGTTAAATAATTTTAAAGGCTCTTATTTCTAAAGGAGTCCATCTCACTATAAAGCACTTTTAAACCTGTTAGTGATCTGTTGACAGTTACCTAATTATATGGGAGATGAGGTATTATGTGTTTCTTGATTTTTTTTAACCCTGTAAAATAAAAAAAAGTCCAGTTTTATTATTTAACCCCTTTTTTAACCATAACCTAGATGACTGAGCATCTTCACCAGCATACAACCTACCGATACTCACTTTTAAAAATTCTCTAGCTGGCATAAAACTAAATAAAAAACGGATACATAAACAACTGTCAGTTTCAAACTTTGCTTATAGTGACTTAGAGTGACTTTCATTTAAGTGTTGAAATGACTTGTGCATTATTGTAATCTGCACATTATTGTAATCTGCACATTATTGTAATCTGCACATTATTGTACCGTAATCTGAACATTTGAGACTTCCAGGGATAAGTTTGCAGGAAAACAAGTCTTACGTGCAAGGACTGAATGAAAGGTATGAGTTGTTGTGCATGTGCAATATAGTTTTGGGATTAAATATTTTACTTACAATATTTTCTGCTCGACACCATTTTTGACAAGTATAATATTAGATATTAGTTTAACACAAACTTTTTTGCCTAGATGAAACTAAATTTGTCAACTCAATAAAAAGAAACAACTTGACACATGCAATCACAAAGTTGAAATACATTATTGTACAAATACTATTATCCAGTACTGCAGATTTTAAAAGCATCTGCCCTTCAGTCAGAACAAGTTAGATCACATCTGAATCATTATTTACTGCCTTAAACTTGTCATAAATTCTGCAATGTAAAAACAATATAATTGCTCGGTTCTATCACGGATGGAGGAAGTTGTGGAGCCCAAAGTGCAGGCAGGACTCCAAAGGTGCAAAAACAAACAGGTTTAATAAACAAGACAGTGCTGACGTGGCAGCAAAAACTCTACTTACAAAAACAGGACTTGGAACAGGAAACTCAGAGGAACTCCCAAAGACAACATGAAGACATACAAAATGTACACTACTGAGTAGACGAATGGACCGAGGGACAAGTATATAAAGAGGCACTGACTAACCTAAATTAACACTGGTGAGGAGACAAACTGAAACAGGTGAGGGTGAGAGGCGCAGAAAACAGAGATGTACACATACACAAAGGGAAATACAGAAATGTCGGAGTGAACACAAGAATTGAAGGAAACAAACAACTACAGAACCAAAAGAAGAATCCTGACACGTTCTGGGTCTAATAAAGGAGGGAACAGGAAGTGACCTCACCAAAAGCAGCACAACGACATGGATCATGCTTGTCCAAATAGTGCTCCAGTGTGTCCCAGCCCCCTCCGACCCGCACCATCACATGAGTCCGAAGGACCTGAGGCAGGCAAGAGAAAACAAGGCTTTAACAGATAAAGTAAATGCAACATAGAACACAGAAAGAAACCTCAAAAATACAGAAATTTTAGAACCAGGGCTGACCCTCAGTGTGATTTGACATACTGATACAACTTTGTCCTCACAGAGTTTCTTTCTTCCACATCGCTCCCAGTTGCTGCCATTGTGAGGTCTCTTCATCACTGTGTCAACTCTCCATTAAACAGCAGCAGAATAAAGAGCCACAGTTCTGGGAAAGACACTCTCATTCTTTTGTTGGCACTCTATTCTGCCTCTCAGCTGGCTTCTCCATGTCTTCACAGAGCAGCAGGATGAACTGGGATAGTCGTCACCCCTTGAGTCCGCTCGACTCTTTAGCAGATTTTTCAGGAGACGAGTGAGAAGTGGGGGGTTAGGATAGACATTAAAAAAATGAAGTTTTCTTAGCCCAAAACTCCAGAATAGAACAATATCGAGCTTCTCTCTTCTCGGGCAGACACCGCCTTCACTGAAGCTGTAATTTGCTTGTGCTCCACAGCACAGTGGAGATATGCCCCCGCTCCACTTTCAGTTGTGTAACACAGTCTGTCAGCCACATGTTTTAAGGACTGCACTCGTGAATCTGAGGGCATGCGAGGCGATGCATAAAGATGAACCTGCGTGGGCTGGCACAGAGTTCGTTTCCACTTGATCACACACGTGGCTCCACATTTTATCTTGACCACAGTCCCAAGACAGAAAGCCCATGTGCGCCATGGTCTGACCCCACCTTTTCTCCAATACAATCCCTGCCAGTTCACTACACGTTTTTTTCATCTGCTTTGCTGCCCTTCCACATCAAATCTGCCAAAACAGCTCATCTGCTTATCTCTATCAATCCAAAGGGGTATAAACTGCTTACACGCCACTGCTTTGACCTCCTGCCAGTAACAGGTTTACTGTCTGCGTGATGCTCTGTGACCACCATGAGACAGCAGTGAAAACTGGTTGCACCAGGTTTGTAACGTATCGTCCTATTTCAAGCATCACTGTGTCAGACACTGACAATACAAAACCAAACATTCTCAACGTCTGATAGGAGAGATTTGCATAAAGGTGGCGCATGCATTTTATTTTCCTCTCTGATTTTATTTCTAAGTTTTTATCTCGTTTCTGTAAAGTGCACGCTGCAAACCATGTGCAGCAAACTATGAAGACAAAAGAATAGTTTTATCTAATGCTCGCTTATAGCTGCCATGAGTGTAGCAGCAACAGTGAATATAGATAAATGTTTTATTGGAGTGTGACTGAACAGACTGATGGCTCATCATATACTGGACTTCATGTTGGGAATACTTCATGTTTTGTTAAATGAGATAATTTAAAAAATTACAATTTAAAAAAGCAAATACACAAGGCAAAAAAAAAAAACGCCTTTTTGTGGTACAACTTGCAGCCATTTCTAACATTAACTGCTCAAAAATGGCATCAAACACACCCATTACATCATCACTGTACGTAATCTGCATCTCTTCTTCCAACAGGTTTATCATTTCTTTATTAATACACAACACTGCAGCAGCAGTTGGGAGTTCCCTGAGGCTGAATAGATGTTTAGGAACCATGTTCCACTTTAGATCTGTGGCTCGGCTGCCAGCTCAACCACTGAAGGGGTTTCACAGACTCTACCACAGAGACCCCATCCCCGTTTCTATGGTAACAGTGAGGGACGTCTTGTCGTTGGGGTGTGCTGAAGCAATTTCTTCTTAAATGCTGGTAAATTCAGATATTAAACTCACGGTTCATTTCAGCTGTTCCCCACAGCTAAAAGCCTCCCCCCTGCTGCGGAGAAACCTCCCTTAAAAAAAAAAAATCCTCCCCCTAACAACCACAATCTGCTCGTATTAAACGGTTTGTTTTCACAACTTCATCCCAAGGTCTTTGTAGCAGCTTTGATTGATGAATAGGGTTTAGTTGGACATAAAAGTGTGTATCCTTTCAACAGGAGGATAAGGGAAGTGTGTTGGATGCACTTGTAGCTGCTTGAGCAACTTATAATCACTGTCATCCCCAGAGATGAATCAGCAGAAGGCGAAGGGGTGGAAACGACATGAAGAGAGCCAGTCTGACAAGTCCGAGGCTCTGGGACATGCAAACACACACACAGAGTCCACCCCAAATTTAAATATGTTCAGTATGTTGGGTTTAGAGGTGTGCTCCAACTGGCAAACATGTTTACACTGAGCAAACGCTTCTTACTGAATTAAAAAAAAAATACTGTAGAGGATGAAAAGAAGTCAAGAAAAAAGAAAGAGAGCAATGAGTCTTATTCTTAAAGTAGAGAGACCTTGTTTTCTTGAATTTAAATTGTTTTACGGTCCTTGGTTCGTATTTAAAAAGGAGAAATGCAATTCTGCTGCCTCCATTTTAGGAGTGCTAATGATGCGAATTTTTTTAAAATAAAAAACATTAAAAAAAAAAAAATAGTTAAATGCTTTTCCAACTGCAGGACTTCATTTGTGCACTCAGCTCCTCAGGTCTCATGAAGACAAAAGAGCACCGAACATCATTTGGTGCAAAAAATGTGCCAAAAGTGAAGTCCTGCAGCGTGCAAGTCTCTTTTACGTTCATGATTTTGCTCTTGTTTTAAAGAGATAAAATCATAAAGAAAACATCTGGTGCAAAGCAGCTCTGAGTCATGAAATCTAAAAAAAAAATATTACAATTGAGAAGAAAAGAACGGAGTGAAGATAAGCTACAATAAAGTATTTATGAATCATCTTTATTCTTTAAAAAGCACCAGAGGAACAAAACAGGTGTGGCAAGGTTGGGTTTTAAAAGGGTTTCTAGAGATGAAAATAGCTGATAAAGGAAGAAGAGTAGAAATTCAGATGATGAATGACCTTGAATAATCAAAGCTTTACAGATTACATTGTGCAAAAAAGAAAAAAAAAGTTATATTATATTTTCAACATAGGCTAGTACAAATCCCATAATATTAGAAATGGAAGTGATCACTTTGTTAAAATAGTTTGTAAAGTAAATACAACAATGCAAGAGTGATCATGTGGGTCTGACACAAGCTGTTAGAAGAGAGATAATTCAGACAATGGTTTGTGGTAGGCACAAAAACCAAATTCTATTTTTTTTTTAAGTTAGTTAGTTAGTTAGTTGTTTTTTTTTTTATTTGTTGAACTTCCACACATTTCAAAAACAAGAAAACCTTCATGAATCTAGCTGGTGAGCTTCACTGATGTTGCTGAAGTTAATAATAGTGTTCAAATAGCTGCAAGCACAAAAACATGTGTGTCTGCTGATCTGTGTTGGATATAAAAAAAACAGGTCTGTTTCAAAATAAAATGATTTCAATGTGTCATGTTTAGGAGCACTCGTGTGAGGTTTCTAAGACAAGACGGCAGCACGGATTCTTTAAAAGATGGAGTCATACACAGAAACATCAGCTCCACATAACTAAGGGGTTTTTTTTAACCTAAAATTGCTCTAAAGTTGGCATTGAACCACTTGTAACGCTCCTACAGGACAATTTGAGTTAAATTAGGAGATCTTTGTGATGATTCCTAGAAGCCTTTTAAATACTGCTCCATTTATTTGAATAAAAGCAAAGAAGTTCAAAAGATGAAGATTAAGATCAGGTTTTGGTAACACAATGATCTGATAGCCGAGTAAATGGGCACCAAACGTCATCAAGAAGCAATTCTTTGGTTTGACCCTCAGTAGTTTAGGCTCTGGGTTCCTGTAAATGCAACTATTAGCAAAAATAATCTAAGAATTCTCCACATTTGGAAAATAAATAACTCTGCACTGCATGTACCGCTTTGCAGATATTGCAAGAACAATAGTTTCTGCTTGTACCAGTAGTTTGCGCACCATTTGTTTACAGCCCTAAAATTCAGTCTACAAAGTGAGAGAGTAAAGGTAGAATTCACGTCCTAAAACAAGCTATTTTTGACATGTAAGGCTGTTTTAAATGTTTCATCACACAGTAAATATCACATCTCCTGCCATAGACTGAGTGGGGCCAACAAAATATTGATATTCCTGACAGCCAGAGAGCCAGAAAGTGTCATTTAAATGCAGGGAACAAGGAACACTATCCAAACAGTCCATTAAACCACTGTGTGTTTTAGGCCAGCAAGACCAAATCAATGTCAACCTTTCTGCACCATCCAAGAGTTTCAGTACAAAATCAGGCCCTGAACTGAGAACAAGCCCAAGTATCTAGCAGGAATCCAGCTAGGACCAAGATAAGGAGAATGCAGGAAATTACTTAAAACTCTATTTGTGTCTGCATGGAAAAAGTAGCTTCCTGGGAGTGGGCCAGAAAAAGGCAGGGTTCATTTCTCTGCTCTCAGAGGAGAGAAATCACAATACTGTTCCAGCAGCTTATCGTTCAGCTTAAAGGGGTTTGATTCCGTCCACCAGCTGAGTGTTATATTTGTTGCTACATAACCCTTAAAACAACATATGATGCCATATGCAAGCACCATATGGTTCCACTCAATTACTGAATGCCTGCTGTGCTATGTGCCAAATATATACTAGCTGCACATTTGGGACTTCAGATATTCAGTATGATTTAAGATTGTTTCAAAACATGTTTTATTTGTACTATAAAGTGTTGGATACTATTTCCTTTCTTCCGGTTAGTAATTTTTTATTTTTTTAGATCTGGCAGCATGTCCCAACAGGAGCATGAGAACACGTGAAATAGTGCGTTTTAACACGTTAATGCAAGCCTAACATGTGTGCTTTCAAAAGTTTAGAAAAACTGCACAGTTTATTTTTATTATATTTTGTTACATCATTAAGTTGTTTTTTTTTTTTCTTAAAGTTCCAAAGAAAACAAGCTTTTATTGCATAATGTCAAAATTAGTCTGGTAAATATATCATGAGAGAAGTAAAAGTTATTACATTATCACAGTTTTATTTATTTATTACTTATGTCCTCTTGTAGCTATAAATGTAACTGATCTGTGAGCTCCAACAGTACATTATTCAGACACAGGTGAGGTATTTGTGCTGCACAATATTTCAGATCTAGTGATCAAAACAACATTCTTTTTTACATGCATACTGACAAAAATAATGTTAACAAAACGAGCACTTCAGAGTAAAAGGTCAAGAGAAAAAAAAGTGGGTATTTTTACCGTTTCATATTTTCACTTCCATACAACACAGGATTAAAATTAATGTCGGCTACATTAGCTAAGAAATGTGAAAACATCAAATAAATAAATAAATCTCTTTACAGGAAAATTGGAAAGCCTTGATTTTCTCAGAGTAACATTGTTTGTCTAAAAGGAGATATTGGTTGTGTGTAAGGTGCAGCTCAGTTAGAAACAGCCGAAACTGTTCCGCCCCTATCCACCTAAAAATACTTTCTACAATTTAACAGGTGCGGTTTGCTGCAGGTGTCATGACCTCCTTTGGACTGAAGACCTTATAATAGAGGTTAGTAATGAGAGTTCTTGGACCAGTAAAACAGGGTGGGTGTGCTCACACTGACAGAAAACCAGGTACTTTAAAGATTAACCAGGCTGTCAAACTTTGGACAGTACATGCTTAGCTGTTGTAGTTTGCCTTATTGTCATAATTAGAGAATACATTCAAATGTAAGCTCAAACTTAGCCAACAAATGTTGAAGTAGCAAAAAATAATGTGTTGTTTGAAATAGACTATCTATCTAGGTAATAGTTGCAGAGTTTCATGGTCAAAACTGATTAAAATGTTTACATTTAAGGCTCTAACTGAACCCTAAATGATGTCATCGTTTGTGATGAAGAGGACCTACCCTGATGAAGATCAGAGCACTGGAGTCTCCTACTTTGTACTTCCCTTCGGATACTTTAATCATAGGAAACTGGGCTGGGCAGGAGCACTGGCCCAGGATCTCACGCACCTGAAGGAGAGAAAAAAAAAAAGATTATTAACATTCATTGTGCTCCAAACATGACCTGACTTCCTATTCTGAGTTAGTCACACAAGTCTGTAAATGTGACTCAAGCACTTCTGGACAAGAACACAATGACTCTGTTTTACAGTGTGAGAAATGAGCAGAGAATACGAGGGTGTTGGACAACGTCTGTCATATTCCTGCCAAATCTTCTCTCCAAGCATCTACTGTTCGACCACAATAAAAGCCTCCATCAGGACGTTGGTTGTTTAGCTCACCGCAAACTCTCACTAAATGCACATCTGGACATGGTAATGAATACTCTCTAACTTTCTGAGCATTTACAGCACATTTTCTCATGTGACACCATGAACCTAAGGAGTTAAAGGTCTCAGAAACCCGACTGCTGGAGGTAATGATGATGTAGTCAGCAGACCCGCGTGTTGCCAGCTGGGCTTTGAATTGAGAGAACCGGCGCCCTTGCTGTGGTCGAGGGGGTGCTTATTAGCAACGAGGAGTCAGACACAACTGCAGGGTGGAGTCAGATCAGCCTCTATTGCACACAGCTGGGTTGGACAACTGTGATGTTTGTCTTGGCGTCTCTGTCAGACAAAGGCGTGTGCACACTTGTCCAGGAGGTAGAGAAAGTGGAGCGCCCAAGTGATCGAACACACACGAGGAGTAAAAGGGCTGTTTTATTGGTACTGAAGGGACAAATGATAAGCTGAAGGAAAATGTTGGGTTCTGAGCCTCTAAACCGTAACTGTTTACACCTCCTTTCAAGCTGTACAGAGGGATATACTTTGTTTTTGGAATGAAGCATCTTGTTATTTTCCTAAAATAACACCCTTCGTCTAATTAAAGAGAGAAGCAGAATCAGGTCTGATCCTCTGCATCTCACCTGCCTCTGCTCGCACCACTTTTCTTTCATCTGCTTTCTGGCAAATCAACCTTTATTTTTAGCGCGCACGCCACCTGACTAGATCACAATTCCATTTATCTTTGTTTGTTTTGATTTTTTCTCTTCTTCTTCTAATTGCAGCTACCATGTGTTTCATTCAGTCAGTACAGGATGACCAGCCCAGTTTGGAAAAACCCTGACTGGTGAGTTAATGGAAAGATTGCTATAGCAACAGACACAAACATAAACCCACTCTTCCCTTTTGGAGCATGCAGTTATAGCCGTCTTGCACAAGTAAAGCATTTCATCTCAACTGAGATCATTTTTCCCTCCAAATTGAAATTTGGACTCGCATACAAAACGAACAACGAAGTGTTTGAACAAAACCCTGACCAGCCCTGATAGTTGAAGTATTTACTCTGGGAACCCCTCAGCATGAAATGTGTGCATTTCTCGTGTCTTCACTGTATCAACAAGACCAGTCCAGATACAGTGGAGCCAAAACACGAGCTCACACAAAGAATGAAGTCGAAGGGGAGGAGTGAAGAAAGGTCTTGCAGGAAACATGCGGAAAAGAGGCAGAAACGTGAAAGAAAAGCTGAAGGGTGATTTTCAGATGAGAGACGCTTTCAGCAGGAGGTGCAGATGTTTGAAAAGGAACAAAAAGAACAAACTATTACATCACACCCAAGTACTGAGAATCTGCCGTGTCTTTCAATGGAGAAGAATGCGGACGTGTTTTTGCGGGAACAGAAAGAGAAACTTGGTCATTCCTTTGAATCTGAGCGCCTGCATGTGTTTCTTGTGTAATAAAAATTCCTTTAAAGATGCCGGAGCTCAGACCACGTCATATCTGTACTGCATGAGTCAACTATCTTCTCATTCTTTTCCTTCCTGACCTGCAAACATGTGAGGGCCCCTGCCATAAAGGAGATAGGCAGAGGGCTGAGTGAACCCTGGGGAAGAACACAGGAAATGGGAGGGAGGGAGCGATAATGTTGTTTAGGTTCTACTCTCAATATTTCTTTATTGATTCAAATGTGGACTATCATTTTACACTAAAGGGTTGATATCATGACAAAGAAAAGCCATTTATGCTGCTCCACAAAGCAAATCTGCTAAGATGAGACTCATCCTGTTACCGTGTTGCATGTAAACTAAACTTTGTTTAGTATATTTGTGGTTCACGTTATCAGGTTATTCTGTATTTTTTCCTATAAGCCTCACATCTCTTACAGAGTCAGTAACTAGAGGAGGACCACACAGTTTGCTCAGATGTTTTCATCAAACTTGGGTGCATCAACCGGATTTAACTGGCTCATTTTATGAGCTACATACCAAGCGGCATACCTACTGCCAACAATAAAAAGTGAACATTGCAACCCACGTCAGGGATTTCTACAAGGCGTCTCCAGGCTCCGACTTCTGTGCATCCCCTCAATTAAAAAGTTTAGAAGCTGTAAAATCCAATAAAGCGCAACAAATGCAATAAATCTGAGAACTGTTTTTAATGACAGAACAGGTCTCTTCTGTAACTTATCTGCATGTCCTGAAGCTTGGAAACTTCTAAGAAGGGAACAATCCATCAGATAAACAGGCACAGACAAGAGAAACAAGCCAATCGGGTGCATGCTCTGCATAACAAAAGGTTTTTGAAACTAGACGAATTATTGAACCACCATAAGTACCGGTAAGTATTCCCAGCTACATATATATGTATATATATATATCCTTCATTACACCCCTGTCATGACCGCCAGAATAAACAGTTATATACACGGCTACAGCTCAATAAACAAAGAACAGCCTCAGCACAATTAACCAGCATGGGCTGAATAAATGATAGTAATGTTTTCTAATTATGTTGAAGCTGCAGCCTGAGGTGAAGAACTGAAACAGATGCAGGTAACTGGTCTAACAAGCAGATAAGAGATGGAAAACCAGAGATGGGTGAATGCCTAGGGGTCATATATATCAGTAAACACCCCCACAAAGGGAGGAAAAATATGTTTAGGATTTGTGTGGAAGCTAGTTTTAGTGCTCTCTTCATGTGTAAAGAAAGTAGATCTATGCCATAAAGTTTATAGTTGCTTTTTTTTAATCTGTGCCCACTGAAGATGCTGGCAGATTAACTTTGTACAGACAAGGAAATGATGTCTTCTAAATGCCAAACTATTCTTGGACCTGTTATCTACAGAATAAGCTGCTATTATGTGGTTCATACTTGTGCTGCATGTCTGATAACATTCCAAAATGTGATCATATGCGGCAACATGGAAACTAATCTCTATAAATTGATCTCTGTCTCCTGCTAACTTGACAAAGAGCCCTCAGGAGAAGAAGCCATACAAGAAACTGATGGACATCAAGTGCTCTAAGTGAATAACTCTATTATTCATCTGCTTCAGTCAAACTGCACTGTAATCACTCAGTGCAGGAAGTTAAATATCAGGCCGCTCCTTTGGTCTATTTGTTTTGATGAACCTGAACGGTTTCTATGGTGGCCCTAAGGTGTAAATGAACAACATTTGAAAAAAAAATGGAATTACATTTGAAAAAAAAGAAATCACATTTGAAAAAACGGAATGACATTTGAAAAAAACGTTATTACATTAAGCCAAACAGGAAGGTTTTCTTTTTTCTTTTTTTTAAACTTTATTAACAGCATGCAACTACAAAAATGTCCTGTTTGGTTTAATGTAATTCCATTTTTTTCAAATGTGATTCTGTTTTTTCTAATGTGATTTTGTTGTGGGGTTTTTTCAAATGTAATTATGTTTTTTCTAATGTGATTCTGGCCACTTCCACTTTGGCCACTTCCACTTTGGCCACTTCCACTTTGGCCACTTCCACTTTGGCTTAATGCAATTCCGTTTTTTCAAATGTTGTTCATTTACACCTTAGGGCCACCGTAGTTTTCAGTAGTAGTCTGCTCATAGCAGGCGAGGTCAGAGGAATTTATGATCAGAGTCTAGCTGAGACCATGCTAAACACAGGAAACACTCACTGAATATAGCTGCTCAGACAGACACCTAATTGAATGGCAATCATGCAAATGATCAGCTGATAGCATCAAATGTCCCAGTAAAGGCATAACGTGCATAATGGGAGTACAGCAAGTTTCTGCACACAAGCCTCTGTTTTGAAAACACTAAGGAGCGACTGCTACAGTGCAAAATCACCTTCAAAAGACAAAACAGCAAAAAGCCTGAGCATGTGTTGACTCTGAAGGCCATCATGCTCACTCAGCAAAGCATTTGAGTGTGGAGCGGTGCAGAGCAGGATGACCTACTTATCCCCTTCATTCTCGCTACTGTAGTCCTGCCTCCCAAAGTCACATCCGCTCCAGTCAGGTTTAACAGAGTGTGCAGTGAAGACACTCTAGGCGTGCGGTCTGTTGGCTACTACTTTCTTTAATTTGGTTCCCTGAATGCGTGAATTAAACCAGAAGGTTAATGGAGCAGAGGATCCTTACAGGCCCCATGCACTTATACAGTATGTCCTCCTCCATCACTGGAGGTGTCTCCATCCAACGATCAAGATGTCAGCAAAAGTAGCGCGCCATTCACTTGCTCTCTTCAGTGACACCAACAAGACATACGGTTCTAGTCTTTGCTGTGGAGAGTAGGGGTGGGGGATGGGAGCGATGGCCCACATGTTTGAGCTAAACAAGAGCTGAATGTGGAGCCTGGAGTGAGAAAAGACATGAACCAATTTAAATGAGTGAGCAGGAAGAAAAAAGATGCTGACTGAAGGAATCCAACAGCAACTGCAGAGCTGCTATGATCTAACAGTGAGCTTGGTTATTGTACTGTATAGATGCCTTTACATGCATTGAACAATAGCAGACCACGTTAAGCCATCACTAAATGTGATTTAAATTGTCTTGTCAAAATGTTAAACAGCTGTGCATTGGTAAACCCAAAAAACATGTAGAATGCAAAAGTGCATGACCATATATGTGTATTTGCATCTGACTCACCAGATCCTTCTGTTCAACAATGTTCAGTCAGGTCATCTGGACAGTTTCTGTTTTTCTTTCTTTTTTTGTTTGTTTCTCAACAACAACAACAACAACAACAACAACAACAACAACAACAACAACA